GGATAAATTGCGTACGGAAAACGCGTTTGTTGAAGGTTTGAAAGTCGATGGGTTTTCTTTCGTGTAATTATCGCGCGTGAGGCCGTAACTTCGCGATGCCCGTCGCGATTCGATCGATGATAATGATTTTTATATAGATTACATGTATCACGTGCTGGAAGAGCGAAAAATGATCGAAATATCTACGGTAAATCTGCTGCAGTCAGCAGACAATTTTCCAGATGACCAAGAAAATATATCGCTGAAGCTACATCGGAACGGGCGTGCTCAGCATCACGTTGGGCCAAAAAGGAACACGAGTGCGCAGCACAAGTGCCTAAAGAAATTAAGGCCCGCACACTACCTGCGTATATACAGCTCTCTTTCTCTCTTTCTATCTCTCTTCGGGATACATTCTTTTTTTTCTCTCTCTCTCCGGCGCAGCATCTCCCCATACCGCATAGCTCTGTATGTGTGTGTTGCTGCTGCTGCTGGCTCTCGCGCGAGGCCGAAAGAGAACTCGAAACAGGTTTCGCGAGCAGAGCATGAACGCGAGCGAGCGTTATATCGCGCCCCGGGATCCTCTATATACCACACACTCTCATTTTCTCTCTCTCTAGCTTATAAGAGAGAAGCAGCTACAAGGAAGACTCGCAAGAGAAGAACCGTGTGTGTGCGAGCCTGGTATATTATGTGTGTATTATATACAAAATATAGCAGCGAGCCGAGAGCAGCAAGGATTCTTCGAAGTGACCGGCTTGCCAAATAAATATGCGAATACATATTTTCACTCTCGATGATACGATACATATAGTAATATACACGCATGAAAAAGCTTCGATTAAAACAATTGCGCAACGAGATGTGCTGCTGTGTCGTCCTCTTCGTCTTCATCGTCCTCGCCGAGCTCGTCTCATATACCCTCTCTTATAATGTTAAAGTACAAGAGCCCGTGTATGTAAGTTTTTTCGTCCTCGTCCCGGCAGCATCCCGAGGTATGCCAGCCTCTCTTTCGGCGCTCCGAGCGATTGTGTACTTTTGTATACTTATATATAGTGATATAATTATTACGCCGAGCTGAGAATACATTTATATACGTCGCGGGTTGCTTGGAACGCACACACACACACAATCGTGCACACGACATACCTTCGCACGCGGCAATTGAATTGCACGTCGACAATGTCGCGTATATAACGCCTTGATTAACATGTTTCGACAAAAAAAATATGCAAAGAAAGTGAAAACCGATCGGGTCGAATTTATCCCGATCGACTCCATCGACCCTGTCAAAAATTAACTTTTATTTTTAAACGAGTATCATCGATTAAACTTAATAGGATTAACGGCGTTGCGTTGTTTGCTGGAACCGATCAACTAATTGAATTTTTTATGAATTTTCAAATTTCCTACGAGCTTCGATGTAGTGGATAATCGAAAACGCTACACACTAATTTTCTCTATAGTTAATCAATAACTCGGGCGATAATCCGTATTATCCTAGCAGCTAAAACAAAGGCATGCCCCCCTCAAACTCGTTGATAATAACGACCGTGGCGAGAATTCGCATTGTTGTAGTTCGCCAAAAAAAAGTGACGTACACAAATATGTAGCCTTTTCTCTCCGCTATCATACATTTTTTACAAAATAACTGAATGATTGATGATGAAACTCGACTGTTTTTTGTTTTGTTTTTAACGCTGCGCGCCAAACACAAAACTCGCTTAATGGATTGGTGCTCTTTTTTTTAATCGAATAAATACTTTTAGAAATAATGGACTACGTGTTGCAATTCGAAAAAAGGGAGATCGATGCTCGCGGTATCGATAAGCGATGGTACAATAATTCAATAATGTAAATCGAGTCTGGTTAATAGTCTAGTAGGACTATGTAAGCCACAAATAAACACATCGGAAAGAGTAATGATAATAATTTTAGAGATTATAAATAGATTACAAAAACAAAGAGCAACGAAGCTGTATAATTATATACAATCAACGTTAATACATTGCTATTATAGATACAACTTATCATTATTACATTTATGGAGAAATAGTAAATAAGTAAATGGGGATCATCCACTTTGAGTTAGTTCCTCCCTAGTAAACTACCCTCGAATAAGAAAAAAAAGCAGAAACGAACTAAACGCATGTTATAATATAGTATCGATTGTCAGATTTGCGTTCAATGCACTCTTTTCGTCGAATGACTTTTTTCCAATTGCTACGTAATAATTATAAAGAATGTATAACGCGAGAATAGGTGAAGCTGCGCGGCGCAAAGTCGTCGAGTAGCTCGAGCTGTGCTCTGCATGCAGCAATTGGGAGCAGCTCCGCTGCGTTCGACCCTTGCAGCAAGGAAAACGTGTCGAGTGCATAATGAAGCACCTCTGCGGCTATATATATAACATAGGCAGAGTCGATAATTTGCCGAATAACTCGATGCCTGTGTGCTCCTCGTAATTCGGCTTATGCAGCAACTATATACGGTGCATATTATATTCTATATCGTGTGGTATAAGGTAGCCCGATAGTGCCGCTCGAAGCTCACTGCTGCCACAGCGATCGTGTGTTACGCGTTGTTGATTTTCGACGCTGCGCTGCGGCTTGACGGCAGCGACGCGTATGGGTCCTATTATTATTATCATCGTCGTTATTATTTTGTTTTTCTTGCGAAACGTTATCAGTTTTAGAAAATATACCCTCGGCGCTGCGTAGTGGGTACACACGGACTACGGGAGAAATCGCGGATTACATTGAGCGCCGTATACGACACGCCTTGTTTGTCGCCCGGTGCGTCTTGATAGGATAGATTTATATATATATTTATTTATGCACCACAGGCGCGAGCCATAGGTGCTTGGATACGATATACACGTCGATGTGTGTGTATGCGTGTGTGTATACTGACGCATGCTGCTAACGTGTTACTTTCTATGAGTGGAGGTGCATAAATAAAAAGACTTACAGCACGTTCGAACGTCGCACACTCGAGAGAGTATAGGTAATCTATACATAGCTTATGTAGCTTTGGCGCCGAGATCGAGTGAACGCGCATATATGTGTGTGTGCGTGTGCATGTATACGTGTATGCGGCGGTGCAGCAATTCCGAGGCTGCAGCAGGCGGTAGAATATATCGCTGCCTGTATACGAGGAAAATTAAAATTCGCCTCTCGAATTTTCGGAAATGCTGTAAACCCATGGGTTTCTATGTGGTGTGTGCATAAATATTGTACATGGAGGAGGCGGGGGACTAGAGAGTGACGCATGCCAATTTGTTATACATGTATATGAGATATAGTGAACTTCGGACAGAGTTACAATCGGGCGAACGAATATTTGTATTGTTATTGTATAACGTGCGTGACCGAGAACCTATATAGACGTATCTTACGTAGAAGACGATTGTTTCTGTGTGTTTTACGTAATTTTAAGAACCTTTAGAAATTTGTAGTTCAAGTAGGATTTTTCAGATTTTTACGGAATGTAGGATATCTCGGATTTAAACGCAAAATGTGGGGCACCTTAGGCTTTTCTCGCGATCAAGAAAGGTATCTTGAGTTCGTATTGCGTAAAGAAATTCAAATTTAGTTTCAATCAGGTTTACAAAGAAGAACTTTCTATTTCGCGGTGAAAATTTGTTAATATCTTACGTTTTTGAAATTGTATTTAAAGTATTCGATACTGAATATCTCAGACTTTACACTCTAAATATATTTTTACATAAGAATTTGAAAAAATGGGTGGATCGGCTTTTATACAGTTCCCTAGTTCTCATGAGATTGCATTAATATAGCCCGCAAAAAAGAAAATTATATTTATATCAAACTTGTGATGAACTTATGATTGTAAGTCATTTGTCCTGAAGCTGTAGATTATACGATTCTGAACTATAAATGATCATTTATAAATTGGTTCTAGGTTGATATCTACAAAGTTTGAAAACATTTTAGACAAATTGCATAGCTAATTATTTTATTTGAAATACAATTTTGGAAATTTCGGGTATAAACGAATTTTCTTTGCAAAATGAAACGTTTTTCTTCCCACGCGATTGAAACTCGATTTGACATTTTTTTCCGCGGCGGAAATTGAAGAAACTTTTTTTTATGCGAAAAAATTCGGAGATGTCAGTTAGATTGTTATAAAATCCCAAAATATCCTGCATTCTATCTAATATTCTGAATCGTCCTTCAGTGCGCGATGAAAACTTGACATATCCTACCGTTTCGATAAAAATCTGAACAGTCATACACCACGTAAGATGCGTCAATATAATAATGCGCGCGACATGCGAGGAGTAAAAAAAGCTGCAGGCAGCATCGTGTGCTTCGACCAAATGCAATTCAGAGAAAATACCGTGTTTGCGACGAAGAAGAAACTTTACGTAAATAAAAAAGTGAGTAAAAAAATAAAAGAACGTCGACGGCAGCGATTAAAAAAAGCGCGGAGGGGAGGCTAATTGTACTCGAAATAATTACAGACTTGAACCGCGTTATAAAATTGATAAAACGGAGCTTCGGCGATGGATATATAAAATGACAATCGCGGCCGCGAGTTCAAGTTCATACAAAAGCTATCGATGCTCGTTCGTTTCTCGCGCGATGAGCCGCAGACATTGCAAAGCTGCGGCAAATTTACACGTATTGGACATTTTTATGAAAAACGGGTAGATGCGCTGCAACGATCAATCGAGTTTGTTTATTTATTTACTTTTCCGCGACAGCTAATCGGTCAACAAAACTCGCGATGCAACCAAGCTCGTGTTTTGTATATAACACGATTCGAAAAATCGATCATCGATTTGCGTAACGGGGATTATCGAGCACGAGCTAATTACGGAGCTCGAGCGTTCGAATAATTTCAACTTGCTCGAGACGCGGCGGCATTTCACGCGCTACCTGCAGCTTTTTCGACACAATAATGTATAATGATGTTTATGTACACTGAGACTACGAGTTAAACGATACATAGGATTATGCAGCGGATTCTGCGAGTCAACAAAAAAATTCTAAACTTACGGCATCGTGCAGGACTCGTTGGAAGAAACGTTGCACAGTTTTGAAAAATCGAACGATCCACGGGGCGACGACGGTTTAACAGTTGGAAGCTCTCTCTCCTCTCAAGCTATCGTTCTCGTCGCTGCTGATTGTGTCGTTGTCTACTCGGCTATCGCAAACAGCCGGTATATTATAACACTTCCGAATTCGCACACAATCAAAAGTTGCACTCACTAGTACTTATCATGATCATTACTTTGCACCAAAAAAAAGCTACCGCTGCACTTTGTCGTCGAACGAACTCGGTGTTGTCGGTGCGTCGCTGTTTTTGCGGTGGTGGGCTGCTGTTGTTGTTGATTACAAGGAGCCGAGGACGCGCCCCGACGCTAGCTAGTCGTCGCAGAGCTCGGTATAATACTCGACTCTCTCTCTGCTGCTGCTGGTTGGCCTCCCTACGGCACACGCAGCACAGACACAGACACACACACACACTGCACGCAGAGGCACACACACTGAGGCGCGCACAGGGCCTATATATTACATACACCTATGCTGGAATAGGTATATGTGTATGGTATGTAGCAGCTTGCAGCGACCGTAGCACTACCGTATGCGTGTGTATCTATACGCACTCACGCACACACACATAGAACTGCGAGACAGAGATAGATACTCTCCGCGAAGCTACGCAGCAGCAGCAACACTCCTCTTTTGCTTAGGCCATGGCTGGCAAATCAGCGATTCGTCGTCGACTCTATGTATATCTGCTGTGCGTCGTGCAGATACAGAGAGAGAGAGCGCGCGTTTTATTATATATTCTATACGCACTGCGCGCGAGCGAGAGACGAGACTCGCACTCGCACTCGCACTCCTGCTGCACACTGTGTATTATATGACTGTATAAGCACTGCAACTTTTGTGTCGATGCACTATGCTACACATGTGTATATTTATATAAGCATACAGCTACGCACAGACACGGAGACGCGCGGATAGAGATACACTCACACACACTTGTATGCACGCACACTCGTGAAGCACAGGAAAACAACAACAACGATGTAGCGCGCACTGCACCAACTGCAGCAACAGCAACGGCAGCAACGTTAAATGTATGGGCTCTCTCTCTCTCTCTCGATGCGGGGGTCTTCTCTCACTCTCTCGGCGCACCGAGCACACACGTATAACACACAGACGGGCACACAGACACACTCTGCACGCGCAGAGGCACAGACACAAGTTGAAGCGCGGAGAGCACAGCAGCGGCTGCTCGAAATTCTCTCTCTCTCTCACTGGCTCGTATCGGACAGCCGGAGCGCGAGCGACAACACAACGACTGCGTGAAATTTATGTAGAGAAGAGATTATTTTATGCACGTAAAATAATAATAGGCGCACACACGACCGAGCACTAAAAGTATATAATGGTATGTATGTTTTATATATATAACGACAGTCTGAGCTGCACTTGGCTTTCGCGATTATGTATATTGTGTACAGTTTATATAGATATATGTACGTGGAGACAGACGTCCGCGACGCTGCAGCGTACGTTCGTGACTGGCGAGAGCTAGGCATTCGCTGTATTAATGCTTGGCGGCGGCGGCGGTGGCTACGGCGGCAGTGCCAATGTATATAGATATAGGTATATGTATTGTCTGCAGAGAGCGAGCCGTGCCCCGTGCCAGACGGACACAGTGTTGCCAACGGCTTGGTGAATTTTGCGCGCTCGAATAACACTATGTGTATCGTGCGGAGGGTTGTTATTTTTTTGCTTCTAAAAAGCGCGTACTCCAAGACAGAAACGATAGTCGAACTTGCGGGTCATTTTTGGGACTCCAACTTGCATAACGAATAAAACGGGTGCTTCTTATCGATTGATTCCAAAACTTTGAACGTTGTTCGATATGCACCTGCTCAAGCTCGATTGACCGTTTCGGTGTGGTTCAATGTTCGTTGGTCATCGAACGAAATTTGAATTGAATATGGTTGCATCGCTAGCGACATTCTATTCAAATTTTGGTCATCGCAGTGATCGTATTACATAATATTTATTATTTGTTTATAATCGCACCTGCATTAAATAGCTTTGCGCTGAACACTGATAACTTTTTTTTTTATCTGTATCGAAGCAATCTTAGAATCCACGGATGTGGATCGTAAATGAAGATATATATTTTTTAATCAAATTAATCGTCTCGCTCATCGCTGCACAAGATGTTTGAGTAAAGCTTGTATTCAAATAAATCATAATATTTAGAGTCATTCCAATGATTACAACGAAGACCCAGCTTGAAAATGCAATGAAATTGCTATATCTACGAAATTGAGCCACGAAAAAACACCCGAGTGAAGAAGCTATAAAACAAAATCGAAAAATTGCGTTGTTTTTTTGTTTTTGTTAAGGAACTTTCGTGGCACTATTCGATGTTGTGATCTTTTTTGCGGCATTTTTTGATATACAATTTTTTCCTCAAACATTGGCAAATTGTTTTTTTCGTAACAATGTGAGAATGTGATGTAGTTTTTGTTGACATCATCGATTTAAAATAAAGGACCTCATGCATTCAAAACAATATTCTCAAGACGCATATAACTTTCGACCTATCAAATCCGTTATAAATATAAAGATATGCAACATAAAAGTAATATAAAAATTAATGCAACTATAAAAATTCTTAAATTTGATTTGCGATCGATTCAAAATTCACCGGTAATCAAAAGCGCGTCCAGCAATCAGTTTCGTTCTGTAATAGCAAGCTCACTTTCACTGGCGCATAATTTCGCCTCGGCAGATAGCGAAAGAGTCCTAATATATATATATGGACGCAAGCACGTTGCACTCTTGGTGAGATTCGCGCAGAGTTGGCAGCTGTGCCTCGAGCACGATTGGCTGGCCGAGTGCCTCCGCCCACATGCTGTTCCTCGGCGGCTCTTCTTTTCGCTCTCTCTCCATGACAACCGGATCGAGCGCGCGCGCGCACGTGATCAACTTGCAGCGCACGATGTCGGTCGACGCGGCGGCGGCGGCTACGGCTACGGAGTCGGGCCTCTTTTTCTGTTTTATCGTTTATACAACTGCACGACTCCGCGCTGGAGCACTGTCGAGTGGCGACCTCGTCGGGTTTCTCCGTGCGAATTGCAGACCGCGAGCTCGGATGATAATGCACCGACTGGGATAGTTTCAATCGCGTTCGTTCAGAAAATCGAAATCCTCGTTGAAAAAAAAACGCTAAACATAATAGTTGATTATTTGAATGTTCTTACCTCTCATTTGCTAGTAGTACAATAGAATTTAATTATAATTGAAAAAAATCAGGAATTTTTTAATTTATAACGAAATTTGAAATATTCTTCATAAAAAAGTAAAATTATTACTCATCCTAATCAATCATAACGAAAAAATTTTTCTTCAAAATCGTCACTTTCTTTCAAACCATTTTACAGTTCGTTATGCTTGTAAACAGATAAACGAATGTCTCCAGCAAAAATCCGAAAACAAAGGTACTTACCTAGTCTCTTGCAAGGAATTTTAGAAAATAAAATTGAAAATTTTGATCCTTACGGAGACATTTTATTTTGGTATCGTCAGTTCATCTTAAGAAATTAATATTCCGTACGTGATCTTATGCACGAAATAGCTGTAAAAATCCGTTTATTTACTTTTTCTCTTAGAATGACTTGAGTGCTAATATTAGCTCTCTGCAGTGTAGGTCCATATAACTATTTTTATTTAATTAATAACTTTTAATTCCTAAATACATTATATTATTTTTAAGCGCATCCGATTCATACTTTATTTTGAATCGTAGTAAAAATATGTTGATTTTCTGTATCTCATTGATAACTTTCAGTCTTGTGAATTTCATGCAATTTCATAATTTAGAATTGAACAAAATTTTCTCAATTTTATCATTTTTGTCACATCAAAATAGCGTATTAATCCTTTTTTTATGATTTATACGAACTTGACCCGTCAAGTAAATTTATGTAATATTTACATCGTTGTATCTTCCCATCGTATAAAAACTTTCACCACCTAAAGCTCATTCGCCAAACTCGCGTGTCCACTTTCGCACGCACTTGTTGAATGATTCCCTCTTCTGTTTTTGATTCTTCGTTAAGAAAATTCCCTGATACGTCTGATATCGACTCCTTTTAATTTTCGTTTTCGTAAATTCCGACTGTATATTCTTAAATTAATGACGTATTGTGCGTGTGCGTGTAAGTATATTAACGTGCAGCAAGAATTTCTCAAGAATGCCTCAGTCAATTTTATCCACACGAAAGATTATTTTATTTGATTTTATATGAAGATGAATCAAATAAAAGTTGATATTTGAATCGGTTAAATATTTTATAGCACTGTGGGGCATAAATTCACAATCATGACACGTTTTTAGGTGGCATAAGTCGCACCTTCGCTGTGTCCGAAATCACGCCGTGCCGTAAAGTGTTACTTATAGGCTTGTATCGTAAGGATTTTGCTATATTACATCTTTTGGTCTTTTTTCAACATTGTTTTTACGTTTTCCAATACTCTCTCAAATTTGGGACGTTTTCATTGAGCTCTCTGGCAGTTCAATGCTGATTTAGGAATTTTTAAACCCAATATCTATTCACAAGTAACTGTACAGAAACTCAACTACTCTTCACAAACGTAATTTATGCAAATCATATGTATTGTTAAATTATCGATGCTATTGTCGCAGATATTTTACTACCACCTGATGCTCGAATCACCAACTGAACTTAACTTGTTACATCACGTGTATAATATCGTTCTGTACTGTATATGTGTGGATTCAGGGATATGTTTCTTTTGTGTAAATCTTTCTCTGCGTACATCGTACGGATGTTTAAGTTAATTGTACACGTGTACAAATCAAATTTTCGTTACTCTTTCGGTTTAATTTTAGTACGGACATGCGAGTATAGCTACTGCGAATAGCTAATCGACGGTAGAGGGAGTTGGTATCACCAAAGAGCTTATAGAGCTATCACAATCGCGGAGTTACCTCGCTAATATTCGAGTAGTGCGTTTAGTCGCTGTTGAGGAATTCCTCCGTAAGCAAATGTTTACAAATTGGTGAAATCGAAATCTACTCTAGGTGCATAACCTCAAATATTTGTTAGCGGCAACGTACACGCAGGCCAGGCACAGTCGCGCACGGCCCTGCATGTGCCCGAGAGAAGGGGTAAGCGGCCCGCGGACTCGCTCGCGCGGCGAGCCTCAGTTGAGTTCGATCGAGTCACGGCACGGAGACGCATTCCGGAGTCGTGCTCAATAAATACTTATTACTAATTAATACGCTGGCGTGTCTTTACTTTCGCCTTCCCGCCTCCACCATCCTCGACACACGCGCGGGCCATCGCCGGGACTCGGACGTCACAGAGCATCCCGGGAGCGCGCTAATATTTCAGAAGTGGGATTAGCAAGCCATTTGCGAAGAACGGAGCAAGCCGCCATCTTGCCGCGCGTCGACTTTTCCGTCACTGCTTGCCAAACGTAGGGCAACGTACGCACCCGAGAGCGAACATTTTTTTTTGCTTCGTGTTCTTCTTGTGTGTGGCCAAGGGTCAAGTGTAGTGAAACGTTTTGGAAAAGATGAGCGCCGGCAACCGCAACGATTCGAGAAACGCACATCTCCGACGAGACGGAGCAAGGAGCGTCTCAAACGGGCATCGGAGTTCGCCAACGCTATCAACGCTGTCGAGTCTGTCATGGGACTCAAACGACCTGTACGAGCAGGATAGAAGGATGGCATGGGAACTCAACGCCGAGGACAGACATCTTATCGATACGCTCGATACAAGGCCAAGGTATGCGATGCAAAATGCACGTCGTCAACAATTCTCAGAACCAGCATCGATTGGGAGAGGGTTACCAGAAATGGAGTCGCCCGAGCCCGCCGTTTTCTCGGCTTGTGGTGACTTGTATCCGCCGTCAGAGGGCGCCTACTCTCAGTCGGTTCGTATGCACAATCCTAGCCTACAACGGCCGTATGCGCGGTACCCGCCGTATGCGCGATACACACCGAATGACGACGAAACGGCGTACCTAACTTGCAATACAACCATGAACAACGAGCGCGACATGTTCAGACGACATGAACGGCGCGAAACGGAGCAGCAGTACGCAGAGCAGCACAGATTGGAGCAGCGCAGAACGGAACAACATGCAGCCAGCTCAAAACAAGACACTGTAAATGTCACCGACCTAGTGAAGCTTCTTATGAGCTACGAAGAGCGACGAGATCAACGACTTCGTGAGCAGGAAGAAAAATATGAAAAACTCGCCACCCAATTCATGCAGTCTCCTAATGTAAATTCCAGTGCGCCAACAGCGGCGACAACAGCATATCACATCGTGCCGGATTTGAGTAAGGACATTCGAACATTCAACGGCGAAGAAAGCAACGCAGCAGCGAGAGAGTGGTTGCGCGGTATCTCCAGCAGACGAGAACTGCACCACTGGCCAGACTCGTACGCATACGAGACGGCTCGCTCGCACCTCCGCGGTGGGGCACGTCACTGGCTCGCTCGCAAGAAGAATGTGAATTCTTGGGCAACTTTCAAAGCAGCATTCGTCAAAACATTCATCGGCGTCGACAGTTTGACAGACGCATGGACGCGTATGTCAGCGCGAGTGCAACAAAAAGGAGAAAAGATAAGTACTTATTTCCACGAGAAGATGAAACTGTGTGACGAAGTACACATGAAATTCGACGATGCTCGTGAGCAAATCATTATCGGGCTATGGTCGAGAGAATTGCGCAACGTCGTCGCTCCACGTAATCATATGGACGACGATGAGTTGCTGCATGATTTAAAGAAACAACAACGAATCATCTCGCAGAGCTACGACAAAAAGAATTCGAAATCGGATTATGCATCGAGAGCCACTTCACCTGAAGAAAAGTCGGACGTTAGTGAAAGAAAAAAATCACCGACAAGAAGCAGTGACAAAGATTCACGAAGCAGAAATTCAACTAGAAAGGCGCCAGCTCGCAACGAGAAAGGAGAGCTGAAGTGTTACTCTTGTAACTACTACGGACACATTTCAAAGGACTGTCCTACCAAAACGAATGAAAAGAAAAACACACAGTCAACCTCATCGAAGTCTACACCTCCAGCTCAACCCAAAGATGATCGAGTGATTGCTAAAATCGACAGTACTACAGCAGATGCTGCACTGAAGTACTTCAAAGATGCAGAGCTCGACGGACAGGAAATCAAAGCTTTCATTGATCAAGGTAGTTCAGACTGCATTATCAAGGCATCATCAGCACTTCAGTTGGGACTGCGGCTCATCAAGGATAAATTAAAACTACGTTGCTATGGTCCAAAGGAGCACCAAATCAACACCATAGGGTTTGTAAACTGTTCATTGAGCATCGATGGAGTCAAGGCTGATAATGTACCAGTGCGAGTAGTGCCAGACGACTTCCAGCCAATGCCACTGCTCGTTGGACGTTCTTACACCGAGCTGCCCTTCATTAAGTTCAGCAAAAACAAGGATACGTTCAAGTTTATGTATGATTTGGATCAGTTAGCTCAGGAGGAAGCGACATCCTACGACACCTTGCAAGTCAAGGAGAATAATCAGCTTTTACCCAACTCAGTCAACTTTGTGTGCATAGATAATGCTGAACGAAACGTCTCATTACCTCTGTTTAATTTTAGTGAGAAACCGGTGATGCTGCTCAAAGGAGAAAATTTTCCAGACAGAGGAGAATTATGTGAAGCACCGCCTCTGCTGGCAACGAAGAAGCAAGCCATCACTGAAGCTGACGTCGTAATTGGAGAAAATCAACCGGTCGAGGCAAAGCGAGAACTGATCAAGCTCCTCAACGAATTTCGAGACACCATTGCCATGTCGATTGAAGAGCTGGGATGTACAAGTCTAATCGAGATGGACATAAAGGAGCTCCCTGGGAGCAAACCAGTAAATCGAAAGCCGTACCCAGCCAGCAACGCAGAGAGAGAGCGTATCAAAGCCATTGTCAGTGAGTGGAAACGGCTAGGAGTATGCACCGAGACGGATTCGCCGTATGCTAGTCCTGTGCTTATCTTCAAAAAAAAGAACGGCGAAGACAGGCTGGTAGTGGATTACAGGCTCCTCAATCAGCAAACAGAAAAACGGAGTTTTCCTCTGCCAAACATTGAGGATCACTTGGCTCAACTACGCAGCGAGAACAAGCTTTTCATCGTCTTGGATTTGGCACATGGCTACCTTCAAGTACCGTTGGCTAAGGAAGCGCAAGAGAAGACGGCATTTGTGACACCAGACGAAACTGGTCAGTTTACGAAAATGATATTTGGCCTCACCAATGCGCCGTTTTATTTTTCCAAATTAATGAAGAAAACGCTGGAGCCGGTTCGCAACGACGTAGTGCTTCATTATCTCGACGACATCCTTATCGCCGCAAGCTCGTGGGAAACGCTTTTGCTGAGACTTCGGCACGTATTGGAGTGTCTCCGACGTGCTCGCTTGACAATAAAGCTGTCAAAATGTGGATTTCTGCAAGAAAAAATTACTTACCTCGGACTAGAACTGTCCGCAAAAGGGATTTCTCCAGGCAGATTAAAAGTTGCTGCAATAGAAAATTACCCAACTCCAAAAAGTATCCACCAGCTCAGACGATTTTTGGGACTTGTAAGCTTCTTTCGTCGTTTCGTACCACGTTTCGCTTGGATTGCTCAACCTTTATATAATTTGTTGAAAGCAAACGTCAAATTCACATGGAAAACCGAAGAAGAAAATGCATTTCATCTGCTGAAGACCAAGCTTACAGAAAAACCCATATTGCAGCTGTTCGACCCTAAAAGAGAGACCGAAGTGCATACAGACGCCTCTGCAGCTGGACTGGCAGGAATGTTACTGCAGCGAGGTGATGATGGAAACCTGCACTTAGTGTACGCTGTAAGTCGAAGTACTAGCCAAGCGGAGAAAAATTATCACTCTAGCAAGCTCGAGATGTTGTGCTTAATTTGGACGGTAGAAAGGCTGCGCAACTGGCTGATTAATATAAAATTTGTTGTATATACTGACTGCAGAGCGCTTATTTACATCAATGTAAAGAAGACACAAAATCCACAGTTTATAAGGTGGCAGAACGCGCTCAGTGAGTATGATTGCGAGATAAGGCACCGACCGGGCGAAAGGATGCAGCACGTAGATGCTTTAAGTCGTGCTTTTCCCCAAGACAAGTGCGAAGATTCAACAGTTTTTACAATTGCCAATGACACCGACGAAGTCCTACTCTACCAATTCTCCGACGAGGCAGTGCAACGCAAAATTGAAATTTTACGCAAAGATGCATCCGAACGAACGAAAAATGAAGTATCAGAAGTACAAGATTATGAGCTAAGTAATGGAATTTTATTTAAGTTAATTGATGGACAGAGAAAATTCGTAATTCCAAAATCAATGAGAAAAGCCATGATCGTTCGCTTCCACGACCTACACGGACACTTTGGACTAGATCGTACGCTCAGAAAAATGCAAGAATTTTATTTCTTTCCGGGGATGCGACGGTATGCAAGGCAACACATCAAAGCTTGCATCCATTGCATTACGAACAAGACTATGACAGGTAAAAAGCAAGGAATTCTACATCCAATTCCACCGGGTGAAAGACCTTTCCAAATTATACATATAGACCACATTGGACCGCTAGTGACAAGCTCCAAAAGAAACAAGTATATTCTAGTATTGGTCGATAACTTTACCAAATACGTCATTCTTGAACCCTGCAGAGATACCAAAAGTGATCAAGTCATTAAGATATTGGAGAACTTCTGTATTCATTACGGAGCTCCAGACAGAATAATCTCAGATAGAGGCACGTGCTTTACTTCACACACCTTTGAAGATTTTTGTAAAAGACACGGCATTCGGCACACTTTAAACTCGCCTAGACACGCTCAGGCAAATGGGCAAGTTGAAAGAGTCAATAGAACACTCGTACCTGTAATTCAAGCTATGAATGAAAAAGAAAACGACAAACATTGGGACTCTGAGATCAAGAAAGTAGAAATGTGCTTAAATACGACGTTTAACAAAAGCACCAATAAAACACCCTTTGAAGTATTGTATGGTTATAAACATCGCTATAACGAAGGCCTTATGAGAACTCTCACTGTGCAGGAAGAAAATTATACGCCGCCAGAAGAGCTTCACGAAGGAGTAAGAGAATCTATCGTTAAAGAACAGTCAAAATACAAGGAGAACTACGATAAGAAACGCTACAGTACGACCTTTTATAACATAGGCGACATAGTGTACATGCAATCTAATCCAGTTGCCACAGGTGAAAGCACAAAGCTTCAACAAAAGTTCAAAGGACCGTTCATTATTTACAAGATTCTCCCAGGTGACACGTATGGTATTACTGATCTCAACCCAGCTCAAAAAGGCAGTCGTTATGCATCCACCGCACATGTGTCGCAACTCAAGCAATGGAAACCATGTGTTGAAGATGACCCAGTAAGTGATGACAATTCGACCGATGAAGAAACAAACGCAGATGAGTCATTGTCTTCAAAAATCAAGGAAATTTCAAGCTCAGATGAACAAGATAAAAATGCAAGACCAATGAGAAGAAAGAACTTACCTCAACGCTATCAAGATTTTGTTTTGAATTAATGAAACTTTTTTTATTATTATTTAAATTTTAAAACATGTTTATTAACATTTTTTATTTATGTCATTCAATTTTAGTATTTCAAAAAAAATAATTGTTTGCTTTTTAATCAATCAAAAAAAATTATCAGTTGTATGTATATGTCTGTTTATGTAGAACAATAATAATTAAAGCAAAATGTTATCCGCCAAAGCTACCCCTTAACTCGAGGACGAGTTAACTGTAGGATGGCCGAGTGTTAGCGGCAACGTACACGCAGGCCAGGCACAGTCGCGCACGGCCCTGCATGTGCCCGAGAGAAGGGGTAAGCGGCCCGCGGACTCGCTCGCGCGGCGAGCCTCAGTTGAGTTCGATCGAGTCACGGCACGGAGACGCATTCCGGAGTCGTGCTCAATAAATACTTATTACTAATTAATACGCTGGCGTGTCTTTACTTTCGCCTTCCCGCCTCCACCATCCTCGACACACGCGCGGGCCATCGCCGGGACTCGGACGTCACAGAGCATCCCGGGAGCGCGCTAATATATTTTATCAGAGAAAATTGTGAAAATTCACATTAATTACGTGCAAATAGTCAATCGGATAATGGAAAATAGAGAGAACCCAGTTAGGTATTACTTTTTTGATCGTACCACGACTTTATTTTTAAGCAATTACCTTATGAAATGCAATTTTTTCCTAGCGTGAAGAAAGAACCGAATGATACTTGGCCAGATTCAGGTGGCGATTATAATTTTAATTCGATTGACTCTTACGACAACGATCAGAACGTTATAACATTTGCTAAATCATCGGTGAGCTAAATGATTTGAATTATGTTCCGTTCTTCTACCGTTAAAAACTATAACATAATTTTAATTTCAGACAAATCACGTGAATGAGGCTGTTACATTACATGAAAAGTCAGATGAAAAAATATTCGTCGATTTTGAGTGCAAATATGTTCAACCTAAACTCAAATCTTTACCGACAACTATCTGCAAAACTGAATATCAAAGTTATTCCTCTAATGTGAAAATAGAAAACCGAATTCAGGCCAATTACTTGAACGATAAAGTTTTGATAATTTTGATAAAAAAAGAATTCGATTACGATAGTAATTGTAAATTTCATATAAGTTCCCGATTTAAGATTGAAGGTAGAAGAATGAAGAAGGATATAAAAAAATTAAGAGAAGCATCTCAAACCAAATTATCTTACGAGTGTAAAATGTGTCGAAAAACTTTCAAAGGAAAAATTAATCTAACGAGACATAATATAACGACGCATAAGCGCATCAGGCATTATGATTATGAACTTGGTCCATTTAGTTATCAAAGAAACCTCGATCGGCGCGTCAACGCGGTACGAGACCGGAGCAAACTCTTTCAATGTGAGATGTATCAAAAATCATTTGGACATAAACATCACCTCAATACTCACATAAATACGGTACATAATCTCATTAAACCCTTTGAATGTGACATTTGTCACATATCATTTGGATATAAACATCACCTCAAACGTCACATAATTACAGTACATAATCAAAGCAAACCCTTCGAGTGTGAAGTTTGTCACAAATCATTTGGATGCCAGAGTCAACTCAAAAGACACGTCAATACAGTACACAATCACAGCAAACCTTTCGAATGTGAAATTTGTCATAAATCATTTTCATACAAGGGTAATCTCAATAAGCACATAAATGTAGTACATGATCGGAAGAAACCCTTTGAATGTGATATTTGTCACAAATTATTTGGGCTAAAAACAAACCTGAACAGGCACATATCTGCAGTACATGATAGTATCAAACCTTTTGAATGTGAGATTTGTCACAAATCATTTGGACAAAAAGGTACCCTTAAGAAACACAAAATAGCAGTACATGATCGTAGCAAACCCTTCGACTGTGAGATTTGTCCTAAAACATTTGGAGACCGGAATAAACTTAAGAGGCACGTAATGATAGTACATAATCGGATCAAAGCCTTTGAATGTGAGATTTGTTGCAAATCATTTGGAGAAAAGGGTAGCCTCAATAAACACATAAATGTAGTACACAATCGGACCAAACCTTTTGAATGTGAAATTTGTCACAAATTATTCGGATTCAAATGTAACCTGAAATGTCACATAATGAAGAAACATAATCGAAACTCATCCTAAGAGCGTCAGTTTTATTCTCAGACATCATGGATGCAATGAAGACTTCTGTACTATTATTTATATCCCTGAACTTTATGAAGGACAATAAAGTATTTCAAACTGTTATTAATATTTTAATGATTGTAAAAAGCTTTCCATTTACCTTTGTTATATTATTTTACAAGTACTAGAGAATATTTCCCAAACTTTTCTAAACTTTTCTCGCTAATTTAATGAATTAATTTACGTGGAAACCTACATGAAAATCTTGCTGTTTATTTTACATAACTCATATATATAGACTTTCAACAGTTGAATAATGTAATGTCATGCCTTGAAGCATTCAAATAACTCAATTATTATTTTGGAAACAGCGGTATATGAGTTTATTTCGTGCATTAGTAAATCCAATTTTTTTTGAACTCCACTTAATTTATCCAAGGTGAATCAAAAGGTAATTGCCAAAATTACAAATGAAGGCTCTCATAATATGTATTCATGAGGTAAGGAAAAATTTAACAAACTACCATTAGCTAAAATTGATAAAGAATAGATAAAGAACGAAAGGAGGGAATGTTTCTTAGTTCGGTTCCGGGCTCGCAAGTAAAATTAACTCAACATTAATTTTGAATATTTTTAATGGTCCAAAACTGAGTTGGGCATGCAACAAGTATGGTGATCTGAAATTGGTGTATGTGGATATAGTAAAAATATAATAAATACTGTCCGATTCTTCAAAAAACCTGAAAAAATCTTTACATTATATTTTGACAATGCAAGCCATGATTATTTACAAATTCGGAACCTCACAGCGTCTGAAAAAATATTGAAATTTTCAATGCACAGATAAGTATGCCAGGATGGAAAACGACAGTCATTTTAAAGAAAATTTAAAAGTAAAAGAGACGATTTTCATCTTTGTAATTTTCCAATCTTTGTGCACTTTTTGGATGTATTTTGTTTACGCATATCATTTGAACCGGCACTTAAGAATAGAACCTACTTCGTTCAAATAATTATTTTTATTTTATATGAATTACGATATTCGTGCATGAATATTTATCAACCGACCCGTAAAAAAAAATTTTGTATACAAAATAAGCAGCATTTTCGTACTCTAAAGCGTAGATTTTTGAGAATCAAGAAATATTCGCGTAGGAAATTTTTTCTTCAAAATTGCATAGATGAAATCAAAAAATTTCGTGCGCATTTCTCCCTTGGATGGACAGACTCTTCCTCGCATAATATTGTATCGTGAGAATCGTCGGCGCTTCGTGGCAAGGTAATGGGCCGGAAGGGGGATGAAAGACTGCGCGTGCTGCCGACTCCCTAAGTCCAATATCGAGCAATCCTCGGAGCAGAGCGGCAGCCGCAGCCGCAGCTCTCGAGAGTAGATTAACTATACATATTGGCAACAACAGTTCGCGCATAACCTAACTTTCTCGTTACTGCCACTGCTGTATAATACATATGCACGGTACTATATAGTATATACGTATAGCTTCGCGTTTTCTTTCTCTTTCGCTCCACACGGCCAGGATAGGTATGTACTATGTATATGGGTTTGGGTGCTGTACTGGTGCTGCTGCTGCTGCCTGTCGCGCTCATGTCTTCTCTGGCGGCCGCAGATAGTAATAGTGACTGCCTGCCGATGCCTCTCAGTGCGTGTCGAGTGCTCAAACTGCGAGCAAAATATAGCTGCGCCGTCTGCGCCTGACTTGTTGTGTTATATACATGTATATACGACGAAGCGCACACGCGATTTCATGGCGTAAAACTCGTGTCTGTGTGCTCGCTCCGTAGGCATAATATACTTATTATACTCGTGTTATAATGACGCCTGCTCGGCTCTGTGTTGTGCTTTTGTGAGAGGAGGCCGCAACACTGTCACGGACTGCAGTTTTCCATAATATGCGTAGCTAACCACACGCATGCACGCACGAAGAACACAATAAACAAACGGAAAAGGCGACGAGTTCGAGATCAGAGGAGGAACTAGTACTTCTGCTATTCTTTTTTTTTCATTCTTCGGTATCTCTCTCTCGAGAGAAAGAGAGATAAAAAAAAGTGTCGACGCTGCACGTACACAGACCAATGCTTTTCGGAGCATTCAGAGTTTCTGCTTTGACGTAGATGCTGCTGCTGCTGCTGCTGCTGCTACAGTGTTTTGAAGTGTCGCTCTGCGAAACAACAGCGAGGATGCATCAACTCAGCTGAGATCAACAAAAATAAAAAAAAACAACAACAGCAACAACGTCGACGATCGTCATTTTTCCACAGCAGAGAGCATGAGGTGAGTCGAGCATTATTACATTTTCGCACGTTCACTCGACTTATATACCATGACAATAAAATATTGTACAGCGGGATTAGAGGCTCGGGCCTGTTGTCTGCTCGATCGAAAATTTGGCATGGGACGTGCGTGCCTGCCCCGCGCGTACGTCGTGTTTACTTGCATTTATTTCCCCCCATATATATATATTTGTACATATATATCTGCTAAGCTGCTATACACGCACGTCCGTCGTACGAACTTGAATATAGGTATACATTTATTAGGAAGGGTAGACCCGCACATACCTACTCGTGGTTATTATATGTAGTACACAATACGCGCCGCCGCTCGCAGTTCACTACCTTATAAACCTATGCCTATACCTACGTGCAACGAAACAAAAGCTGGGCAACTGGCGGAGAAAATTTGACCTGAAAGTCGAACGCCAAGTGCCGAGAGTTGAACGTACCTACGTGCATACGCCTATATAGTACATCTGCCCATGTATACGTACGTACGTGTACGTGCATCTAAAAGCTAAAACTAGAACCTTTGCCGAGCGCCAGTTTCACCCGAGTACTTTCTTTTTTTCCCCGTTTTCCCGATTATAACAATGGACGAGAATCGGACTCTCGTTGCCCTGTCGATATACTCTCCTATTACTATACAGTATTTTCGCTAATCGTTGTTCCTGTTTTGTCCGTTTTTATTTACATTTCTTTTTTAGCGAATGAACGACGGGATATACTTTTCCTCGTTCTCGAAATCATATTACGTGTGTCCCAGGTTTAGCTTGTAAGCAGAATTAACAGTCATTAATTTTTACGTTGTACACAAAAAACGCCTCCGAGCGTATCACTGGTGTGATACTTAATAGTTTTGGAGCCAAGGGATATTATCTCCACGATTTCCGTGAAAATATCCGTAAAAGATTGGTCCTATTATCTAGTTTATAAACCATCTATCTTTCTCACTCTCTCTCGCTCGCAAGGCTTTGAGATTCAAAGATTCGAGCATGTCTGTTGTATACTTCTACGGGAGATTGGAGAAACCCGTGAAGCGTTGCCGCGGCAGCAGCAGCAGCTCGAGTTCTGTCATGTGTACGCTCGATTGTGGTTTCGCCACAATGTTTGTACGTAATTTGCATAAATGTATTTGCTCTTTCTTACTTCCGAAATAAACCAAAGTATCACAGTTTCTGCGCTCGAGTAAGTCAACTTTGTGCAAAGATACATATTCTTGCTTTTAATTCTGGCCAGTGTCTTCCGAAGGCTCGTGTATAGAATTAAAAATGAGAAATACAATGCCATTCTGTAAATGTGGATGCGACGTTGTATATTATTCCCGCAGTAAAGACAGAAGAAAACCTCATTAACTTGTGGCGCGTGTGTGTGCGCGCATAAAATACAGTACTATATTTGCGCGAATGCTTTACCCATGTGTGCCTGGACACTCAACCACACAATAGGCGAGCGACATTTTAAAAGCTTTTCTCTCTTTTTTTTTTGCTTTTTATCATGCTGTCACGTCGAGAGGAATTTAAAAACACGTTTCAGGATAAATGACGGGGATGAAAAGTAATGAAAATCGCGGAGCACCACTTCGAATCACTGATGAATGAGTTTTCCAACCCATCGGTGTAATCCACTTGCGTTTTATTTTATGTCGAATACATGGGAAGTTGCACACTGACGTGGAAATACCATAATATCCACTCGAATCGATCTACATCTTCGTAAAAGTGCGGATGTTGCTTTCAAAACTTTTTTGAATCATAAGAGATAGCGGAGAGATTACTCTTAGGGTTGTTTCCAAGTTTAATACGATATTTTTTGAACATTTTGCTTCTCAAACTTCGAGCTCATTGATTTACAAAGTGGGAACGAGAATTATTTAATGGCATTTTAAAGTTTTATTTTTTATTGGCGCAAAATGTTAATACCGTATTCTCCGTGTTACGAGTTTTAAAATTGTATTCTCCTTTTAACGCGTAGGAGCCGGCGTCGAGGAGCAGAAGTCGAGAGAGCCGCTGCTACAGCATTTCACGGTGAACTTTCTGGATGATGTATATAATTGTCCTTGAGCATAGATATTTTTGCGTGCGTAATCCTTTAGAAATGCAGATTTATTCTTGATTCATTGTAATACATTCGAGAATCTTTAAAACTTTATTATCTTAGCATCACGTTATTCAGACAGTCGTAGCTGAGAAGAAGTTTTATTTTATTACAGAATAATTTCTCGACCTTATTCAATTCTTTTGTTAAAATGTTTTTAACCGAGAAAAAACTTAATTTCTTCTAGTTCAATTTTTTTTTATTTATATTTTTGCAGTTTTAAATATATAATTTTCCTTTTTGTATATCGTCCAATTGTCTTTTTGTTGAAAAATTTTAAAACCAGTAGCTTATTACGTACAATTACGCATTGAAAATTATTGAGGCGTTATAATTATTAATTGATTCTAAAAGCTATGAGCGCTGTAATTGATGTAACAATTAATTTTTACGTCACTCGACTTTTTTATCAACTTATCGTACTTGAACGAGATCTTTAACAAAGCATAAATATGTATTATGTTCAAACAATGATTCCTTTGGTATTCTTGTACCTTATTTTAATATCGTACATATTTACTATGTCATGTATAACATTTTCTAATATATGCTGGTAAAACATTTCGCGTATGATGAACAAAAATATTTTATAAATTTTTTTATTGCTTTTTTTATTTTATTATAAAACTTTTTATATTTAAATGAGAGCAATATTTTGTGCCGAGATTTTCAGTAAAAAAATCTTCTCTCAGAATTTTTTCTCTAATAAGTGTAAGCGGAAAAGGTTGTAAGAAGACATTAATGCACTTGAGATCTTTCAACTTATATATCTTATATTAGATGAACTTGAAAGTACACTCATCTCCTTACTTGGCTTCATAAGAGCTGAAAATATTTTTTACTTTTTTTGATGAGAGTACTTATAATATCTCGTGCTTATAGAGTATTATAATCATCCATTTACATTTTTAGTGAGATTAAAATTCGTTTTTGACTAATCTCAACAGATGCAGAAAACTTGATGAACTTTGTGTGATTTTTGTTTATTTCTGTTTATTTGCGAGTATCGAAACACATACGCATAAACTCATAATTATTCATGTTAATCACCCTGCCTAGAAAGTCCGAACGCACGATAGCCATTTAACTTCTCATTTGAGTAAATCTGATCGAAATAAGCATAATCTGTTTTAATTTAGCCGATAAACTGTAATGAAAACGTGTGGGGATTTTAAGCTTTAGATGTGCTTTAAATTTTCGGATTTCGCAGTCGATTGGTCGTACCTTATCTACAGCTCACGACTTCCGTAGAGTATTTTACTCTCGCTTCTTTTCTTTTTTTTTATATAACTCTCATCAATTATTAATTATCAGCGTGTTTGCAGACACGGGCGAGCGTCGTTGTAAAAGGACTTTTTCTAAAATTTAAATTTGCTGCAGGAAAATATTTACTGAAGCTGTGCCCCGCGTTAGATACCATTTTGGAAAGAATTTTTTTCTCTCCTCGTTGCTAGGCAAACATTTCTCAGGCTTATAACGCGAGCCTTATTTCTTCTCTACGCAAACTCTCGGAAGAAAAATTCGCGCGCGCTCTGCTAACGCCGAATATCCATTTCAGTTGTAGCCTGCGCGCGTAAGTATACTCTGTCAGTTGACATTACAACTTTTTACGACGACTGCGAGAGAGAGAGAGACAGAGAAAAGTCAAGAAAGAAAGTCAAAATAATTTTCGCGCAAAAAAAAGAAGCAAAGTCGTAATGCCACGGGGGGCATGTCACTGTGTTTGTTGGTCCCCCGAGTGTCATGCTGATTTCTATTATTTCGCGTGCTCACGTACACATGTATATATAACACGCGACTCGGCGAGTGGAACGTATTAGTGTACCTTTCTCGTTGTATACTGTGTCTTAATGCCGTGCCACGGCTCTTCCACACGAGCAGGTGATAAATCAGCGAGTAACGTCGAGTCTTCTCTTATTACGTATTATATTATTATACCCCGAGCATAGCTGCAATAGACAAGCACTGACGCGGTGGCTGTTCTACGCCTCGGATACCAGATATGAAAAGAAAATATTTGGACCATAAAAAATGTTGGACATTCGTCGGCTTAACGAGACGCCACTTTACGAGCCCTAGTTCGTAATTTAATTGAAAAAGTGTCGATCAGTTGATACAACTGTTGATAATGGTCTTTTTTGTCGTACCTGTCAAAGTTCGTCTGCGAGTATTGACAGTTTTCGTTACTGCCCATTAGTGTCTACAAATATTAACTATCGTGTTTAAATTTTCAATACACTTCTACCTCTGCGATCGTTCGTCAAGGCTGATAAGTTTTACTCTGCGAATTAACCAATCATAAACAGTTACCGACGTGAGAAAAAAAAATAATTATCACTAATAAGACTAAAAATTGATTTTCCACAAGGTTGGTGGTATAGAAGACGGTCGATTAAAAGTCAGTAACTCGAGCTCCTTCATTAATTATTACTTTTTTTCCTCTTTTATTTTTAACAAACTGTAGATTAACACCCTGTATATTTCTATCAAAAAAAAGCTTTTTTTATAGTTGATTTATTATTTATCGATAGAATTTTTTTTTCATGATACGATATTAGAAAAGTTCTGGATTCTTTTTTTCACTTTTCTTTTTCAATCGTTTCAATTGAATTGGTCGGATTTTTTTTTTGTCAAATCGTGAAAACGTTAAAGCGAGTTCTGTGAATAATTTCAACCATTTTTATCGCATAAAATTTTTTTCGCAGCGTCAACCTTCGCCTCGTCAAAAATGAAAACGTGCCCGATACATAGCCGCTCTTATTTACCATCGGACGGACTCTAACGAGTTTTACACTGGTCGCCGTCTATACGTCGACGACTATGGGCATTAATTGCTGCCGTATATCCTACATATATACATCTATCTGTCGATTGTTTTGCAGTCCTTTGATGCAGCCAGTGACTGCAGTGCAGCGGGTTTGGAAATTGTGGATCGAGCACGTGCGCGCGAGTCACTTTTGCCCATCATATATGTACGCGGCATACGTCCGACGACCGAGAGATGTATTGCGGATCAATCAGCAGCACACGTGCATATATTGCTCGAAGCCGACAGTTGGAGTAATATAATCCACATGCGAATACGTAATGCTAGGCAGTAGCCGATTTGCGCAACGGATCGAGAGCGGCGAAAAATAATTTCGCTTTGAGTTTATGTACACATGGATATACGATATTACTACGGACGGCAGAAAGCTCGAAGTTTCTGTATGTATTCCATATACGAGCTGTTCGTGTACATAGATGTATAAAGCTGCTGCTGCCTGGTTTCGCGCGACTCGTGGCTTTAATAAGCCCCCGGTCGACGACGTCGTCCGATCGACGCGCGATATTATTATAACTTGAACAGAGAGCGAGAGAACGCGCCTGGTGGCGATAGTCGTGTGCCGTTGCTGACACTAACAAGTACTGCTGATAGGGCACCGCGCTCGGTGCAAAGTTTTGCTTCATCGTGTACATGTAGCTTCGTTCGTACACACACACAGACGTTTCTATCGACCATTCGGCCGTATAATAGTCAGCCGTGCTTTTAAAGGCCCGGAGCAGCGACAGCGAGGTTTTCTTTCGTTCTTTTTCTTTTTTTTCTTTTTTTTTTTTTTTGTTACATTGAACAGCGTGTACCCCGAGAGACTTTTTAGAGGTCTCAAAGCCGACACTGCTGCTCCACTACTACGACTGTACTACTAAAAGGAATAGTGCCCGACGGTCTTTTACCGCTTGGGCTTTGCTCTCGGTGTGCTGCGGCTGCTCCGCTATAAAGAGAGCGCAATTTTTCTTTTCGCATTATACACACGCTATGCGCGCGCTTGGCTCCTAGACAAAATATTCACGCCGACCAAGGAGCCTCGACGACGCGTTTGCCCACCACGCCAAAGCAGCTTTTTTTTACATGCCTGACCTGCGGAACGTATACTCGTGTTATTTGAGAGGGAAATTTTTGTTTTTCCCTTCTTACCTCGAGGACACAAAGCCTAAAGTGTCGCCGTGCGGCTTCTTCTTCGAACTCGTCCATTGTTCTATCATCGACGGAACTAGTCGCGATCGAAATTAATTCACGACATTACATTGTTCGCTTCTAACGATATGTGCAGCGAAGCACAATTAGACGCTAAGAAATTTATTGCTACGCGCATAAGCTCGCACATGATAAAGCCATTTGTACTTTAGGTATGACCAAAGTGCGAGTGGTGAATACTCCATCGCGAGTCTCGGTCGTTGCGTCTCATTTACGCGACACATTATAGCCCCAAGTTCATCGCGCCAACTTTTAATCAACCTTGAATTAATAATTAATCCAACTCCGACGGATGTCGCGCTCGGTGCCATTACCGTGTGTCGCATGATTAGTTAATGCGAAATTATTCGCACCTGTGCCTGAACTTGCTATCCTATCGCGAACGAGCCATTGCGAACGCGATACACCGTGTACACATTGATTTCTTGATTATAGCCATTTGGCACAATGGTTATTAGGGAAATTCTTACTTAGGACACCGAAGCCTATACTTTTTCTATAAATATATGGCAAAGAAATGTATATTATCCGATATAATGGCTCCTCGCAAGGAACGATACATTTTTTTAACTATTAGAGTAAAGACATAAATGTTGCTTGCGTACAATGATTCTGGTTCTTGATTTATTGCATATTTTACTTAACCGTAAGAAAGATACAAAACGCAAAATTTACGGCTGTCAGTTTCAAGGGAGTTTATTGTCGCGAGTTTAACTTGTCACTAACTTGGTTTCATTAATTATAAAGCATTTAATGCATCCGTTTCGCGTGTAAGACGCTTAGTCTCTTGGCGCATTCACTTGTCATTTAGTCATTTCAAGAGATAAATTGGCTCTAAATAGAAACAACCGTGTCTTACCGAATTAGCAACATCGCAGCAGCATATGGTTGAAATCGATTTGGATCCAATGTTAATTATTTCATTTTTTGACTATTCGCATGTGACTTTACGTCTATTTTTATACCACTCCTTCGAATCTCCTCTCTCTAAAAAAAAGGAAGTACACAAATATACGGAAAGTAATGGTACAAAGGGGCTTTAAGACTTGATCCTGCTTTATTTATACGCCTCGCGACAGCAATGTCAATAATCCATCGTAGCGCGCCTATATATATTCGCAGAGACAGAGAAGCAGCGGCATAGCTCCAACAAAAATTGCACTTCGCTCGATATATACAAGCGCCGCCGTCTGCGCACAGTTTTTACTTAATGTTACAGTTTTTCAATCTCGTAGTTTCCTGTGGCGCATCAAATATTGAAGCTAAAATGAGATACGTAATAAAGCATTTCACTCGTGCTTTGGCATTAATTTTTTTTCTCTTCCATTGCTTTCGTGTAACAGTTGGCAGCGTGCCCTACACCCACCATCGAAACGAGTCGTTTCTATACATTCATTTTTATTTATTTCTTGTATTTTTTTTTATTTTTTTACTTTTGTCTTCCGTCAAGTTTATCACATGGTTAACGCGAACGCGCGCAACCAAAAGTAATTACGGTTAATTCCCTAGAAAAGCGACGTGTTTTGCAATGGAAATGAGAAAATGTAATACAGTAATGGATGGTTTCAGCGCGGCCATTAATTTAACAACCGAGTGTGTAGTGTGCGGCGCGCGATCAGCGCGCACGTCCGTCGCCAAGAAGAACGTATACGTTGGCGCTTTCCTGAATTTATACGCAATTTTTGTGCGCCTCGACGCCACTTCGACACTTCGAACCGCCCGATGTTTTGTATACACAAAAACACAATAGTCGAGAGTCTTATTGACGTTGATGAATTTGCGTATAAACACGTGAGGCGAAACTTATACCGCGCTCGATTCGAGCTTTTTTACAAACAAACTCGCACGTGGACGCACTTTACGCCGCCGCCACCGCCGTCAACGCGGGAACAAGAGTCACGCACGCGAAACAACGGTGCATCCTAAAACATTTTCAATATAAATGCTTCGGGGAGTGCATGATAAATTAAAAAACCCGTTAGGCGCACGTGACACGCACGCACACCTGATCGTAATTCTAATGTTTATGAAAAAAAAACTCCTCTAGATTTACCATGAATATACTCTAGGGTGACCGAGAATTTTATTTACGGTAAAGTCAATTTTCTAAGTGCTTCTACGAATAAGGAGAAAAATTTAACTGCAGACGCGCGTCCAGGTGAACGTCGAAATTTCGAGATTAAAAAATAAAAAAATAATTCTTGTCTCCTTCGCGGCGCTGTGACAAGTTATATAAATTAATTTTAAACGCGTCGAGAATTGGATAAAAATAATACCCCCACGTGCGTGGAAACGAGAGGGTTTCATTTCGCGATCGTAAAATTACGTTGGCCCGGTTTACGTTACGTTCGCGTAATTGGGCAATGCGTAATCAACTGCACAAAATTTCATATGCCTGGCATATGGTGCTGCAATTTTTAATTCGTGAATCGATTGTTCGAATTTTCACTGCGGAACGTGCCCCCCGCGCATCGCTGCCGGTGAGTTACGACTTTGACCCAGAAAAAATCACTCCCATATATCTTTTATTTACATTTGCATGCGGCATCGCCCATGGCTCACTCTATTATAACACGCAGACGGAAAGTTGAGCGCGCGCAGGAGAAAAGTTAGCAGGATGAAAAATATTTTGCTTTAATTCATTTTATTCGTCTATTTTTCGTGGCCGTCTATCTCTCTCTCTCTCTCTCTTCTCTCGTCGTTACTCGCTCATAACTACATCACCGGCGCGCGCTTTCACTTTGAATAAAGTCCGCATCTTTTTTTTTCCGCGTGTTTTTTTTTCTCTTCTTCTTCCATCCACCTCGTCCGAATGAAAGTTTTATGCTCCTCATAACGCTCGGGCAATTTGCCTAATGTATACCCACAGTGCCACCGTTGCCTCACTGCGAGCGCGAGGTGAATTTTTTTTTTCCTTGCAACGCGCGTACACGATTCGGAACGGATGATACGACGACGAAGACCAATTTTATGTTCTAGACGCGGCAAGGTTTTTCTACCTCGTTTTTTTTTACTAGAACGAGTTCGTGACTTTGTATATTTTTTCCACGCGGTGCGCGTCGCGCGGCCGCCTTATCGCCTATATAGATATCCGAGCGCTCAACTTATTTTCAAATATACTCGTACAGTATATAGCTCTGCGTTGAAATAAGCGTTATTTTCTTCCTCTACAAGCACGAGGTCTTACAAATACAGTTTAAGACTTATTGAATTTTTCAATTTTTTTTTAACTTTTCTTCGTTTATTTACAGCAAAATGAGCGGCTCGCGACTCGCCAGGGGCCGGGCCAGCCGCATGGCGATCCTGATGGTCTCGGTGGTACTCATCTGCTGCGGCTACTACGTGTACCGGCAGACGCGCGCCGAGATGGATAAACTGCGCGAGCTTCACACAAAGTGCAACCAACAACTGGATACCCTCCAGGCCCAGCTTCAAGGTACATAGCATGTATACTTATATACTTACAAGCTCGTAATATCGCCGCGTTCGATGTAAGCCCTTCCAGCCGAGTCGAGCTTGCATTAAACGTCTTTTAATTAGCAGCAGCTCCTTTTAAAGTCTTGCACCAACGCGAGGGCTGCTGCTGTTGCGAGCTGCTGCAGAGCTCGGCGCGTTTTCTGCAAGCTAAAGCTTCTTTGCAGGGCTTGCTCGGCCTACGCCTCGCTCTCGAAAAGTGGTTTTATCTCCTTCAGATTCTCTCGCTCTGCTTGCTTTTTAATAATACGTGTATATTTTGCCGCGTACAATTTCCACCTTCAAAGTTTTTTCATATTTATTACTCCGAGCGCTCGGTGCGCAGCCAGGGTATAACGTCAAGCACTCGTTGAAAAAATGTTAAAATCAACTTGCCTTTAATTTATGAAAGGGATCAACGAGTGCTTTTTTTTGAACGAAATAAAATGTAAAGTCATGGATGAGCTTTCAGCTTTAATTTCGAAAGAAAACTCATCGAGTCGAAGTTGTGAATGGCAAGATTATAAATTGTACCCGACTGGATCGATAGTACTTTTTTTCTCGCTAATGAAGTCGTGTTTTTTCACGTAGACATCCTACAGATTCATTTATCTCTTTTGTCCTCCGCAGTGATATACGAGTACAAAGTGCAATTGGAGAAAACGCTGTCGAACGAAAAAAGCGCCAACGCCGCGGTGAAGGAGGAGCTGCAGCTCAAGGCGTCGAGGGAGCGCTCGATGCGCGACAAAGACATGGTCGAGGCGCAGCAGCGTTACAAGTCTCTGCAGCAGCAGTACAAGATCCTGCAGACCGGCCACAAGGATCTTAAGGACGACTGCGAGAAGAAGGCCAAAGTCGCCTACGAGAACACCAACATCTGCGAGACCAAGCTGGTCGATCTGAGGAAGCTCTTGAAGAAGGAGAAGGACGAGAAGGACGACCTGTCCAAGTCGCTGGATCATCTGAAAAACAAGTGCATGGACGAGGGTCAGAAGAAGGAGCAGCTCGAGGAACAGTACGAGAACTTGGTCAAGACGAATCAAAACGATAACGGCGAACTGGCGAGACTGCAAAAGCAAGTCATACAGCTGACTCGAGAACTCGACAAGTATAACAAGGTATTTGGAAATAATTTTTTTTTACGTTTTTATCTCATTTTGAGTTTTTTTTGTTAACATCGAATTCGCTATTATTTCAGAATAATGTGGGTAATCCAGATATAGATAATGGCCAAATATTGCCCAGGTACTCGAACTCGGACATCAACGACGTAAATCCAGCTAATAATCTGGTCGTCGAGGAAAAGTCCAACCCCGCGGCAATCGACAAGGACCAGATGCAGATGAACAGGCCGTCGTCGTCGTCTTCTCAGCATCAGGTAAGTCCGTCGAGCGAAGCTTTACAAGCCGGCCAAAATCCGCAGCCTCTCCAGGCACCCCAGAACAATCGTCACCTCGTCGATCTTCACGATAATAATCAAAACGACGACGAAAACAACAACAACAACACCATAAACAACAACAACGACGAAAACGACATGTTGCAAAACATCCACAGCGACGACTCGCTACACGAGATCAAGAGCGACGTGCGCTTTGCCAGTCGGGGCGGCAATATCGTGCCAGTCGGCCCGAACGAACCGAACGAATTGAACGACCAGCCGGAAATCGTTCCTCTAGCGAGTCCCGACGAAAACAAGCCGGAATCGCCGATAAAGTTCGCATATCCTTCGGAGCGTGATATTAATGGTCCTCCGGTCAACGATCAAGTCAAAGTTCCGCGCGTCAGGCCGCCGGTTTTGATTGCTATGCCGTCGAGCACGGAGAATCTGTTCAAAAGCGAACCGTCACTGCCGGAACTCAAAGATTTTGACTGAATTCGATTGAGCCCAACTCTTGCCGAGTTGATGTACAATTTAGAATTAGAAAGTAAATAGAAAGAGAGTGCGAGTTTCTGGCATTGTGACTAGTTTCTACTGACAAAAAAAAGTTGATGTACTTTTCACAAAACTTTTTTCACACGACAAAAGTATTGCCAACAAAAATGTGCCTTATAAATTTTATTAAAAAAAAAAAAAAAATTACATTATATGACTCGTTATGATCTCATCAACTATTATTAGTAAACAGTACGCATGGCCTCTCATTTTTCTCTGAGAAGTAAATGAAATCAAAAGACATTTTGATTATTTAAAAAAATGTTATTGAAGTTAGAAATTACATTAATGTATGAGCTTACATTAATGAGATATATATTGTTTTTCTATGTTTGAAAATTTTATATTCAAGTAAAGTATTTACACTTACTGCAGTAGAAATTTACGTGTTATTAGATCGCATTCTTATGAGAAAAAGTAGCGATATTTTTTCTGAACAGAAAAAATTGTTGATGTAAATGTATGCTTTGAATTTAATTTAAGCTTTGTAAATAATTTTTATGTAGAAAAATTTCTATTATACTATTAGTTTTGATTTTCACATTCCACATGCATAGTTTTTAAATACTTTATTATAAATAGAGTGATTTTGTAAAAGCCTATATTATTTGTTTCTGTAATTAATGGATTAGGTATGAACTTTTCTTTGACCGTTTTTAATGAGATTTCATTGCCATACAGCTATCACGGTTAAGTTAAAAAGAATTTTATTTTTACGTCACCGCAACGTCACTAGCGAGTATTAAATAGATTTAATTATTGTAAATTACAATGGCATTTAGTTAATAAATAGTTATCGTTTTTTATTTCTTTGAATTTATTCTTTTACCATCCACAAATTTTTCAATTTTTTGATAATTTATAATATTGGTTGGTGGATTAATAATAAATTTTTCATAATTGTATTAATTAACAAATAATTAATTTAGTATCGTGAAGTATTGATCGTCATTTTGATACACATCGAAATTTGATGTACTGTAAGTATTTATTTAATAATGTATTGAAAGGTGACAGTCCATAGCATGTTAATTCACTCATGTAATATCATGGAAAACAATTTTTTTACGTTTCATAATTACAATATTTTATTTACTCGTACATCACAATCAAATTCATGAATTTTTCTCTCAGCTTTAACGTTAAATGACATGACTAATAAAAGAAAATGTACTGTACTGAATTTCGGTAATGGCTCTTCAATAAACTATAAGTAAAATTGATGGGTTGAGTATCATCGTTAAGAAAATAAAACTATTTACATCGTATATTAATCATAAGTACATCAGTCTCAGGGATCCAATCATTTCACAATTATTTGGCTTTATCTAATTATACATTTAAACTAATTTTATCCATTGCTTATTTAATTCGATAAATTATATATTAACAACTGATTGAATAGAATGACTCTCTTTTTGCAGGCTCAAGTCTCGGGGATGATGAATAATGCGGTGCCGGCGCCGTTGAAAAGTCCCACCGAGAGCTCAAGCAAAGCCACCACAGCGACAACGACGACTGCCAAAGTGAAGCTACCCGTAGGCGTGCCACCGATACCAAGACTCATCGAACAGCCCAAAGAAGATATCGAAAGGCGACCGGCGGGTAAAGCTGACTCAGAAGCACAAGTCGATCCTGGCTTCGCCGATCCCAATCGGGATCACGCCAATGCGAATAGAGACATTCGAAAAGCTATCCACCAATTAGAAGCTATGAAAAAACTTAGACACGAGGCCGTTGGACACGATCCCGAGAACGGCTGGTACAGAGTTGTTAAAGTTGGTCAACAAGAAGTCGGTGAAATGCGTCAAGAAAAGAGCGGGTGAGTTTTCATAATTTAAAACGTATCTCATATAGTTATACTTCATACGCATTATCGTTGAAATCGCAGTTTAGAGAATGTCGCTGGCAACGAGGACGTGGAACAATACGACGATTACAATTACAAAGAGACGCACAATAAAAACGGTGACTTACATTTGGAGGAAGGAGAAGACGAAAGAGAAGGTGCGTAATTGATTGGATCATTGTTACTACTTTGTTTTTCTTATCATCTACTGAGATGTAATATTAAATCAGATTTACTTTAGATGAGGATGACTACGTCCACCACAATGTCAATGACATCAAACACGAATAAAGTTACTTCCACGAAGAAACCTAGATAAAAATTTTGTACAGTGTTGACAATTTTTCAAGAGCGAGCTCTATATTTTATCTTGGAATCCGTACTGAAATATGAACCTGAGAAAGTCTGTAGAGTGCAAATATGTTGTTAGCGGCAACGATGGTTAAAAAACTGTATTTTTATAAAAAAAACTAATAAAAGTTATTGTAAACGTAACGTTAGGGTTTTTAAGGTACTTAACATACTTAACAATGTTCCAAAATATTTCATAAGTCGTCTTGTGAATAGTATGTAGTTGTATATAAGTATAAATTACAGTTAAATTGTAAATTAAAATTACTTAATGACTAAGGTGCTACTTATTACTGCCATAATTTTACTAACTTATCGTTTATATTTTTATAATTTAAAAAAAACAAAAACAATGTACTTAATATGTTATTACAAGTTATTTTATAAGTTTAGTATAGTTGTAACATATACTATAACTATATTTTCTTTGCAAAATTTTTGTGCGGGTATAAATGAAAAATGTCATTTCTGTTTACGGTTTTGTAACTAAAAAAAAATTTTATTCTATAAAAACGTATGATGTTTTTCAGTTCTTCAATTTCTTTTAGACGGTACGATTACCTAAAAAAATTAACTATAAAAGATGACTATTGTTTTTTAAGCAGTTCAACTTTTAGTCATTGTGATGTAAGTTAAGCATACTGACCATTTCTTAATTATGAAATAGAACGAATTACTATCAATTATAAAAAATAATTGATGATTTCTCTTTTATGAAGTAGATGTTATTAGTTTAAGGAGAAAATTTGTATAATGTTTGTTGAGGCATTTTTGTATGGTTAGAAATATTGAAGATCAAAATATATATGTACAGACATTTTTACATTATGTCACTGGCAAAAGTATTCATTTTTACGAACCCTCATTATTGGTGTTTCGAATTTTTGTACAATTTTGTACGTTTATATAAGTCATAATGATGGTGAACATTAATTAGAAAATTTTGAATTTGATTCATCATTTCTTTATTTATCTCATTAAAAAATTATTTCTTCAAATAATATAATGGTGTTATTTTTCAAAACGTTTGTTACTTTTAAACAATTTATTGGTTTTTTTATCTTTATGAATTTGAAAATATACAGGAAAAACAAATGAGCAAAAATCATTGGCTCCCACACGAAATTCTTCACACGATTAAATGTACGTTGAGTTTATTATCGATTATTGCATAATCTTGTAATGGTATGTCATACCTATATAGACCTTTCTAATTCATTATACACGCAACTTACTGTAATACAGTTAAATTCTGGTTCCAGACATTTGAAGTATCTACATCGAAATATTTCTTTCTTTTTTTTATTAATAATGAACATCTTGTTTTACTTTCACTTTTTCATTTATTAAGTAATTTAAAATTCAATATTTTCAAATAAATTTATTGATGATACAAAATTCTGATTCATATATAATATATTATACAAAAAAACTTGGTAACTTATTTAAAAGCCAATCTGTTCACAAATGCTTTTACTAGAATTTTTATAAGTTCAGTCGAGGTTTTCATTTCCATACTCAAACCTGCTTTGATTATATTTTTTTATCAGCCGGATATTAGTATGCAGAATGAAAAATTAAATATTCCTTGCACTGCGTTACGACTTTTTAAATAATACTCCACATCGAGTTGTCCGGCCCGGTGGACTTTCTTTCGCTTATGTCCTGAATATGTGACACGCATGTTCATTAGAACATATAATAAAATATCTTTCCAGGTAGTGAAAACCTCAGAAGTATTGAGGTATGGAGCTATTAAGTCAGGCGATTTTCAATCTCATTTTTTTCATTTTAATCATGAAAAAAAACTATTATTCTGCAGTAACAAAAAAAAAAATTGCACGATTGCAGGTTCAATTGTGTATAGTAGTTCGCCGATTGGATGGGTCAGCGTTATAACCTTCGGTTCGTTTAATGTTAAATTTATCAGCATCCTTTAGAGCGCGGCTATTAATTGCCTTACGCCTGGTACGCCTGCTCGTAAAATTAAAGTGATAAAATTCTTCGATGCCTCGGTTAAAAAAAAAAAATATTTCGCTGAGTCGATCAGCCCGTGTTTTGCGTAATAACTGCTAAGTACAGTAAATAAATAGATCAATAGATTTTCAATTTTTCATAAAATGAAATCAATTCTCCAAATTGTTTTTCTAAATACGATTTTGAAATCAATCATTGACCGTCAAAAAAATAGATAACGATCAGTTTGAGATAACTACAGCATTGTCTGTGATTGTATTACTGACTCTTAGTGATTTTTAAAGGGAATAACATACTTTATCGGTCATATTTTCCAATCAATTATGAGAACAGGTGGATTGAAGGTTTCTATGAAAATATGATTTTTGAATCTTTTGTCAGATATCCATATGATACATCATTTCTGACAGCTTATCATCGGGTATTTCAACTGAAATATATGAGGATTGGTTACTTTCAAAAGAAAACTCAGCTACTTTATTTGAATCAAGGTCAATAAGCATTAAAGTCTGAAAAAATAATTATACCAGAAGCGTTTGCATTGAGATAAGAAGTCTCTGTAATTTACAAGCGGCCGTTAACCGTTTTATTTCCTCGAAGAAAAAAAATAAAGGAACAACATCTCGAAACAAATACACGAGCCTCTCTGCTCTATATGCCAGTCGAAATTCAAAGTAAAAGTAAAAGCGTCAAGAGTATCGATTAGATTTCTCTCTCTCTTAACAAAATCGGCTACGATGAATGGGTTTTTCTCTTCATTGCGTACATGTATACTAAAAGGCCCACCGAAAAACGTATTTGTATAGCACCTGCGTCAGCGTCTTTTCAAGCGATCGCGTTAAAAAGCGAAAAACATATACCTATACGGCAGCAGGACTTTCGCAAGCGGCCGAGCGCGGGCGCGTTTGAATCGATTTCGTTATATGGCATACATGGAAATTCGCGCATGTTTCGATCGGACCAATAATGTGTACCGATCCCATTTATCCACGGCATCGACGTTTTACGTAAGAAAAGTGTGTGTTTATATCACACACATACACAGTAACAATCGCGTCTACATATTCATGACAAGAGCTGGGCCAACGCCGTAATACACAAATCTCAAAGAGTTTGGAAATATTTTTCATACAGATTTTATAAGGTATATTAAGGCACTCGCGGACGAGGCATAGGAGGATATTACATTTAACCAGATTTATGCTTGTGTACAGTGAAGAGAGAAGTCTTAATATTTTTCCTGGACGAAATTTCACCTGTTACGCATTGACCTCGATCTCCAATGTACTTAATAGCGAGACTCGGCGGCGGCGAACTCGGAGAAACGGAGAGCCGTGGGTAATTCTAAGGTGCTGCGCGCGGAAAAAACAAACAAAAATTTCCGCCAGTGAAAGAGAGAGACAGAGAGAGAGAGAAGAGTCGGCGCTCGTCGTAGCGGCAGCTTTTCAAATTTTCACGCGGCTCCAACTCCGCGCGCGCAAGTCGCTGATTGCATTTATACACGCGACTATGCTACATAGGTATAGACGCGAGAAAGAGCGGAAACTTTGTTAGCGGAAGGTCAAAAGTCGCTAAAATCATGTGCAACGCGCGACGATACCGTCGACGTCGCCGCTGCACACCTCGGCTTGCGCTGCTCGCGCGCGCGCGTAGTCAAGCAAAGAAAGTAGCTTTCCTCGCGCGCCTCGCGAGAAAGAGAAAAAAAAACTGGAACGCCGATGTGTGTATATCATGCATATAAACGTAGTGGTACGTGCATATTTACGCGTTGGTTTTCTCCCGCGAGGCGCGCGTGAGAATATAAATACCATAATGTGGGCAGTAAGACTGCAGCAACAACAACAACAACGAAAAGAACAACAGAAATCGGAGTCGGAAAAAAGGATATTATGTGGCTGTGTATAGAGAAAGATGTAGAGGGCCCAAAGCTGTGGTGCGCGTCGCGATAGAATGTCGCGGTCGCGCGGCGGGCAAAAGTTTACGACGATCGTGGGTCTATGCGCGGCTCGACTTTGCGGCTGCAAAAGACAGTTTTTTTCCTCAAACCAACGCCATGCACTTGTGTGTCATACTATGTCGTGCAGTGACTGCGTTACACATGTATCAAACATAGGAAGTCTCTGTCGCACGCGCGCATACATATACTTATGTACACGACGATGTATATAAAAATATATCCCACGCAGTTGCGCACGCGAGAGGGACCCTATATAACGTTAATACACGGTATTAAAACGGTCCCCCTTCTCTCTCTCTCTCTCTTTCTTTCTTTCTCTCTCTGATATAATTGCGTTTTCCATTGAACGGAGTTTGTGTATAGCGACCGGCGGCGGCTACGTCGGCCTAGCTTCGAAACAAACGCGTATATAATACGGCTATACGAACTCACACAGACATAGGCGCGCGTACACAGACACATACACACACATATTGGAGAGGCCAGCGCACGGCCCAGAATCGTTCCTCTCACTATATACACACTCCGTGCTGCTGTGTACAAGCCGTGTGGCTGCTCCGCATTATATAGTGATATGTTTCCCGTTGTGTGCTGGCGAGCGTCAGTCAGTGCCTGTCTCTCGATCGCGTCGAACACGTAGCGTCGTTCGAGTAAGAGCCTTCATTTACATACATACACAGCGGCTAATTTTCTCTTGTTGATCAGGCCGTGCCAAACGATTCTCGTGTGCAGTGTTTAGTGCTTAATTTTTTTATCAAAATCTACGAGTGCCTTTCGTAAACAGTGTCTTTGAGTTTTTGTCCGTTATCTCCATCCCATCATGGGCAAATTGGGTTTCAACTTTGACGAGAAGAGGGCCGCAGCCGAGACCGCTCGAGTTCCTGCAGGAGATCAGCCAACGGCGGCATCTCCACAGAAGACCATCCAGAACGTCGAGAGCGGAGTCGTCATCACGAGCAAGGAGCAGAACGAGCAGAACGAGTATCTCGAAGTGAGCGATCTGCTGCTCGCCATCGAGCAGAGAAATCGTGTCATCAGGAATGTGAGTATAGGATATATTGCTAAACCTATAATATGTACGAGTTGCAGAGGCGCGCGTGAAAGCATTTTAATATTTTATATTTTAACATAAATCGCGCGTGTGCGTTGGTTAAAACGAGAGAGAGTCTGAGCTGTCGCAGCTCTCTCGACCTCGTGGCGTTTTCAACTTACTCTCGACGATCGGCTTTCTCTCCCTTTTACAGAGTTCTGTCTATTCTTCGGCAAAACTTTAACGCCATGTACCAAACTATAATATACAATGTCTGTACGCGCTGAGTAACATCGCCGCCTAGTCGACTCCGAACTTTTCCTCGCGCAAACATATACACATTCTATATTTATATACATCCGCGTGTAATCCTCGACTGCGACTCGGCGCGGCGTGTGCTAAGTAACGCTTGCGCGCGAGATCGTCTTTTGACACTTGTTGATGCACGTATATACACGGCACGAGTTCTAACGAAGAACCGTACGATAGCGATCGTGCTTCAGCCCTATACATATACCTTACATATGTGTATGAGGAAAATATGCCGCGCGCGTGTACCCGATTTCAACGGCACGACACAACTCGCACGATCGTCGTGTTCCTTTTTTTTTATCACGTACAACGCAATTACGGGCCTTGCGATATATGTAATTGGGACTTTCTTTCGGATGTAAACGATCCATCGATCCGATTCTATAGGCTCGTTGAAAAGTATGTAACGTAAAAACCAGTATGTAGAGACATGAAAAAACATGTGCGGGTTCGAGACTATTATACCGCTACTCCACAACGATCGAGATGATTATCTCGCATTACAATTACAGTACATGATGATACAAAGGCGCGTCCGTCCGATTGAACGCGTCCAATCAATCATCCAAAAACATTCGTTAGAAAATAGACCCCATCTCCTGTCATCCATGTATTGTACTATAATGTAAGATGTCGATATTACACAATTAGGCAAACGATTGTGGTGGCGTGCGTCTTTGCTATACAATGACATCACACACAAACTCATCAACAATCGTCGTAGCTCACATGCACACGTGTTTCCGTGTTTACTTGACTAATTTTTCGTGCATGTGTTTTCACAGCTGCGCATCTTGCTGCTCTGCTCGGTCGCCTTCATCGCCTGCCTGCTCGGCTTCGTCATGTACACCCAGCCAGGATGGTATCGCAGCGAAAAAACAGGTATGCACACGCGACATCGTCGTTATTCATTATTATTGTTATTAATTTCAAAACTCGGCCTGAAATTATGTGCCGTTTACGCATTTTTTTCTTCTCACTGACGAAATGCTCCTTTTTCTTCATTGTTCATTATTTTTTTCTTATGGTTGTGTCTCATTACAGTGGCCACGCACATGGAGAAGTTGGATGAATACTCTCGCCGGTTCGAAGCTCTGCAAGGACAATACGACGGTAAGCTGCGACGATGTGTCGAAATCATTGTATATATTTCCATAAAAACGAAAAATCGCAATGTCTCAACGCGTTGGTCGCAAAGACACAAAAAATAAATAAAACCAAGTCATCGGGTTGAGTCCAGCAAACGCACAGTGTATCCGGATTGTCAAGAGCACACTCGATCCGGCTCGTTATTTTTTGTGTATATATATAACTCTTAACTCTTTCGGAATTTAACGACGCGACGCGAAGTCACGTACATATTACACGCGCGCACACATACATCGAGATATGTATATGAACGCGCGCTGGCACATAATAAAGCACGCATCGATGCAAGAATGCGCGGCTCGGAAACGAGTTTCGGAAAACGACGGAGATGCACAATGAGAGATGACGCAAATGACAGAGAGAGAGGATAATCGTCGCGCGCCGTCGTCGTCTAACGATCGAACATTTTGCCGATATGGCTCGCGTAAATGCATTGTCCGGAGAGAACTGAACGATAAGTGCTCGAAGATATATAGTCTGCAGGATGCTGCGCGTGTAAACGTCGATCCTCGGATGTGAAACGCCGCCTAAATGCGAATTCCTGCTGCTGCTGCTGCTGCTGCGCTCCGAAGTGGAAGACTAATTGCGCGGATTTTCGGCGCCGAGTTGTATACAGCGATGAAACAGCGAAAAAAACAAAAAAAAACATATTCGCGCCCGGCCAATCGGAAAAAGAAAGCTTTTTGTCGCTAATAAAATACACATCGATAGATGCCGAGCGTTTTATCACCCGCAGGCGCCTAAAGAAATTAGTAGGTCGCTCGCTTACTATATATCTATATCGCGTTTCACATGTTTCCGTAAGCTAAGCGAGTACGCGCGACACTGGCTTATACTCTGCGCGACTGTATAGGTATATGTGTACGACTTTATGTCATTGTGTGTGTATGTAAAGCCATCCTTCCTGGATATACGTATATACAGTCTCTTTCTCTATAGGATTTTGTATGTGTAAACACTATTTATCATTTTACGCGCTTCGCGCTCGCGGATAGAATTGCCGAGGATGACGCCGCTGTGCTTTTCACTTTTTCCAAGCCGCTCGCGCGCACGCACAAGATCGATATTATAAATATAAATTTTATACGTGTAACGCGCACGTTTTGTATATCGTACGCGCGATCGATATTATAAATGTTGAAAATAACATGTATAATAATGGCCTGCTGCTGCTGCTGCTGGCCTATGCGGAGAAATTGCGCGCGCGCGCGATTTCACTTGTTCGACAACAGCGATGATCCATGAAAAAAGACCGACCGTTACGTTTACTGTCTAACTTTGACGTACACTTCGACTTGTTTTTTTTTTTTTTTTAATACATCGACTTACTTTCCATCCTCTCGCTCGCATACATATTATTCGGACTTGGCAACAATGAAACGATTTTTTCGTGTATCACTATTATCGTCGCAGACGCGTCTCTCTTTTAATTCGATTTTAATTGGTGTCAAGACTGCGCGCATCGATTCGGAGCACATTGCCTGCAATTAACGCGTATTTTCTTCTCGCCTTTATCGGATTTTTCATTGTATACACGGAATACGAGCGATGCGCAGATCGTGCCGCAGCCCCAAAGTACTTAATCTTCGTTTATTCAAGCTGCATGCGCGCGCGATGCTTATCAGCTGCAAGAGATTATGCCTTCAAACACAACGACACGGCCGCGTTCCGTTTCCACCTGATAAACTCGTACGCCTCTTTAATTTTGAGTGCGTCTAAGACAATTCATTATTCATGAATTTAAGTGTTTTTGTTATCGGTACAATGTACCGTAAAGTTTGAATCGTTTTTTGGAATCGAGAACTCATTGACGAGAATCCAGATGATCGGGTTAAGCTTGAAGATAATAACACTTTATTTGTCAATATGTACTTATGAATTTTGTCATTTTCAGAGATAAGATCGGCCACCGTGGACGATGCCAGAAAATGCTCCCAAGAATTGATGACCGTAACAATATCCCGAGACCAAGTCAAGAACCAGCTCGAGGCGGCCAATCAGCAGATGCAGGAGCACAACACGAGATACGACTCGCTCCTGAAGAGCTTCGAGGACCTCAAGAACACCGAAGACGAGCTCAAGTTCTTCCTGAAAAAGTCCGAGGACGAGCGCGTCGAACTGATCAAGCAGTCCGACGACTTGAAGGAGCAGCTGAAACAGATGAAAACCACGACGACGACCAAACGCCCGAGGACGACCACGACCCCGGCGCCGAGCCGCTCGTTTTTCGACACGCCGCAGCTCAGAAAGATCAATGACATCGTCAAAGAGATCGAGAGCGTCGGTCGCGTGGTCGGGCGCGTTCTCAGCGACGCCTTTTAAAATGGGAATAAAGGGCCGTCGAACCGCCTATTGTTAAATTGTTGTGCGAGTGCGAGGTGAACTGGTTGTAAATAGCTTTTTTTATACGCGTTAAAGCGCAATTCGAGAGATTTTTCGTATTGTTTTTCTTCTTTAATAATGAAAGCAGTATTTTGTGTTTCTTTTAAATTAAAAAATTTTATGAATTTTTTTTTTATTAAAAGATTATAAGTACTGAAGTGGAAACGATTTCTACCCTAACTAAATATCATAATATTATAATAGAATTTTTTGAGATTTCCTTCGAGCGATGGTTTCTTGATTTTAAAATTTTATTTTTTGTCGTACGTATTGAGCGATGAATGCATTTTTAGACATTTGGATGAGATTCAACGTTGTGCAGAGCAGATACACAAGTATTCGTAATTTTTAATGAATCAACGATAACTCTGTTAATCGATGAATTGGGAAGCTAAGCTTTTTTTTTACCCTGGTAATAAATAAATGGATCATATTCATAAGTTTTACTCATGTCAAATTACGAATGCGATTTCTAACAAAGGCATTTCGCGTAAAACAAATTTATGCGTGTGACTCATCGGCCAAACGACAAACTCTTCTTTCTCCCTCTCTCTTTAGACACGCATTAACCTCTTTAATCGCAACGATATTTGTAAATTATGCTGTGAGAATATGCGATTTTTTCGCAGTCGCACGAGATGTATTAGTAATGATAAAAAGAAAATTTTTTATAACGGAGTTTATAATGAAACTTCAATGGTTTTAAACTAAGAAAAAAATTTGTTATCAAAATTTGATTGAAAACATTGAAAGTGTATTTTTTCGAAATATTACTGTTATTGTTGTTCAATTTATACGAATTTATAATATAAAAAAAATTGACATTACATCACGCGCGAAAGAATCTAATAATTTAAATGAACTCATCTATTTTCTATACATAAGTCTATGGCTAAATGAAAGAGATGAAACTTGTAATAATGTAAATTGTTAAAGTGTATTTTTGCATACCGTATTACTTGATCAATAAAAGAAAGTAATTTATTCTATACACGTTAACTTAGTTATCATTTAAATACTCATGTTCTCTAATTTAGTTTTTTTTTCCAGTTGTCGACTCGAAGTAAAGTTAAAAACTGTAATTTATAAACTGTCAATTTTTCGAGTTAAATTTTTTTCATCTCTCAAAATGAAAAACTGTTCCAACTGAGGAAAGCTCGGCAAATAATGGTGTGTATGGTGAAAAATTCGTCGGAAATTAAATCCGAGCGAATCTTTGTAATTAACTTTAACTTATCTTGCTAAGTAGTACCAGTTCCTAGTTGGAAGATTTTAAAATTCAAATGGCATATCTCTGTTACGAGTTGTGCTTTAGTTTTTTTTGTCTCTCTCTCTCAGCTCTCTCGCTCTCTTTTTGTTAAATTTTCCATGTTGCACGCCGCTGGATTTAAATGAAAAATGTAAATTTTCAAGTAGCAACAATTCTGAAATAAGCTACGCCATTATCATATAAATGTTTAGATCCCAGGTTTAACCCTTTGGCGCATAAACTCTAAGCTGTCTAACGAAAATTCATTATCTATAACGAAGCTCTCCCCCCGGCGTAGATAGGCGTTAAACCTTAACTCAAACAATCCGAAGGGCCCTCCCGCCCTCGAATATGTTGCGGTGCGGCTGCTGCTGCTGCGCCTGTGTGTGAGTGCATTCGAGTGGCAAAGTTTCGAAAATGTTGGCTCCCGCCGCAGCGCACTTCAAAAGCTTGTCGTCTACCGAATGACGCGCAAGGATCTCATCACGTGCACTGCAAGAAGATAGCTCTAATGTGCGTCGCGTCGAACTTTAAAACGGAGAATGTGTGCGCGTCTGCGTGCGCGTGATGTGTTTTTGAACGCGACGAGAGAAAGAGAAAGAGCGAGCGAGAGCCAGGACTCATTTAGTTAAGTGGATAACAAATGCCAAAGTTTTGCTGCTACGCGATCGTCTTCGCAGTCAGCGGGTGGAGTTTTGTCAATTTTCCGACGAAAGGTAAAAGTCGAAGCGAAGCAAGAGCGACTAAATGTGCGACGTGCCGCGGGTAAAAAAAATTGCACGCTCTAAAATGCAAAGTTATACTCCTTTCGCGGCGTGTACGTACTATACCTTCTTTTGCTCATCGCCTATAATGTATGTGCGGGCGCTAGCTGCTGCCGACAATGCCGACTTCGTATTGTAGTCTTTGGGATTGTATTATGTAATGCGCACCCCCTCGGATCTTTTGTACGCGTACATTTCTCGTTCGCTTTTCTTTTTTTTTTTTTAAACTCTTCTGAAAGGGTAAAATATACATCCAAGAAGATGCATGACCGTTTTTTTTTAGATTTTGTTGCTCTCTCAGTTAAAGAGTTTTTCAAACTGCGCGACACACAGTGTACAGCGTTGTTATTGTGTGTAACAGAAGTTGCATTTTTGAATTTTAATAGTTCTTCGCCTCTGTGCCCCATATTTCGGATGTAAAATCGAGTCAACTTGAAAATGTTATTTGTAAGCTCGTAATTTTGGGAACTCATTTCATAGATTAAAACTTTTGTCACGTGCGCTACGAGTTAACTCTCGGAGGATACAATGTTGTTGAAAAGTTTTTAAACTGATTCGTGACAAAATCTTGAAGTACAATATACCCAGCATTGTTTATGGAAATAATTATTAATTGAAGCATTGCGAGTTACTGTTTGTGATTGGTTTATTTTTGCTAAAGTCTATCTTGTAAAATCATGACTAGTACATAGTTTATTCGTTTTTTCTAACTTTTAAATTTGACTATGTAAAAAACAATTACATATATGATATAAAATTTGACTTATAGAAAGGAAAAGATTACAAAAAAATTATACATCATGTTATAGTAACCTTGATACACATTTGGGGCCATCAAGTATTCAATTATTATTTTCATGGATCAGTACTCACATAAAACGTGCCGTAATTCTTTTCATGAAAATACAAATTGAATTATCATGAAGCTCGAGCGTGCGTGATCATGGTTATTGTAAATGATGCATTTTTCACGAAATTTTTCTTCCTCTGTAACAATCAGTTTCTAAATATACACTTCGTTCCGCGGAACATTCAAATATATTACGCATGTTTCGAGTAATTTCCAAAAATTCATATTTTTGGTCTCGTTGAAGTACTCTATCAAGAGCTTGACGTACTTCCACCTGAGGTCGTCATCGCTCGTATCCATCCACGCCGACTCGAAATGCGCGATCACGCATCTTACCGGCATCACCTTCAAAGCGGCCTCGACGAAGGCCATCCTGACCGGCTTGGGACTGTCGGCTAAACGCGGAAGACTGTGCTTCAGTTGGTCCATCGGCCAGCGGTACAACAAGGACACGAACGCGTTCGGCATGTTCGATCGCTTCTCACAGAGCGAAAAGAATTCGATGGCGAAGGACAGCGTGACGGGGCTCTCGACGCGTGGCATCGACTCGGCGATGGCCATGAAAATCTGGGGATGGACCTTCGACAGCTGACCGATCGGTTTTTCGTTCTCCAACAGATGCCGCGTGACGATCTCTTGAAAAGTCGGCCCGTCCACCAGGTAGGACAGCACCTCGACGCTGCCCGGCACGAGGAGCTCGTCGCTGCACTTTTCGACGTATTTGATCGGCAGATCGGCGTACCACTTGATGCTCTTGAGGAACTGAGCCACCCTCGATTTCTTCCAAGCGATTTCACTATCAGATCTGATGCTCAGGACGTTACGACAAACCTCGAAGTACTTTGTCCAATTTATCCAGATCGAGGGCCGTTTGTGCTTGAGCAACAATCCGAGTCTGCAGACTGGGATGCATTCGAGAGATCTTTCAGTCGACTTCAACTCGTAGTCCGTGAACGTTTTGAGCGGGAGCAACTTTCTCAATTCCTTCGAGTTGATATCGCGTTCTATGTCGTCGTCGATCATCGATCGCATTACGTGATCGTAAAGCTTGACGAAAGGGCCCAGGTCGAGACTCTTGCGCCCGTACTTGCTGTGATGCTTGTTGGCGCTCTTCGCGGCATTTCTGTAGGCACGCATCAACTTGATTCTCTTGCTGTCGGGTAATGCCGACCAGCTTATTATGTCCCCGAGCACGTACTTGGAGAAACAGTTGAATAATTTTTCAAGGTAGTCTCGCTCTTTTCTTTTATCGTTCTTTAGTGGCCAGCACCAGTTGTCGATACCAAATAGGTACAAATGGACAAACAAACATTCGTAAAATTCGTCGTCGCGTTCTTTGACGACCAAAAAGATCTTTATGAGTTCGACCAATAGATTTGCCAAAGGTTTTTTTTCAGGATCTTCACAAAAGTCGCGATGGTTTTCCACGCGAAATTTGTGCACAATTTTCATCAGCACTGTCCAGCTGTTCTCCTCCAGAGTCGTCAGGTCGATATGAGTGAACAGCGTCTGGAGCCAATCAGTAGCTTGCTTAATGTCTCCATAATCCATTACACTCTCGTAGTAACTCAACATTTCGAACGTGTCCAGCTGGCTGTTGTGCAAGCAGCAAGCGATGAACAAATCGGGAACGACGTTTTCATCAAATTTATTAGGAAGATATTCTTTGATACAAATCATCGTAGCTCGAAGCGGTGTGAACCCTACCGGAGTGCTAAAATTGTCCTTAAGATTTGGATTCGCTCGTAAAAAAGTGTCCCTAAAAAACCCAATATCATTCTGTGGCAAGTAAGGGAATATGTAACTCAAATACGAGGGATCTGCGAAAATCGATTGGCCATATTTTTTTTCGTAAACACCTGCTAATAATCGAAGTTTATTCTGTCCGCCAAGCTTCAAAAACGTGAAAATTTCTTCATTGACCAATCGTTTATTGAGTAGCAAACGATCCATCGAAGCCATTATCAGGGCTACCCTGTGTTCCAGCTTCAACTTGGACCAAATGCCCGAAAAAGGAAATACTTGCCGAAAGTATCTGTACTTTTCAAGTACATATATTTTTTTATTTTTTTTCTTCTTGAATATAATCATAGCTTGTTTGCTCTTCGGTCTGTCACACAGATCAGCATGATAGCAAATTATATCTATCTCTTTGGGTAAAAAAAAGGACAGATAATCCAGCGGATAATAGGCAATGAATTTTTTGGTGAACCATAGACTCCACAAGTAGAGCCTGTCGTACCATCGCTCGAATTGCCACTTGCCAATGGTGTACCTGTAATCCACCACTAGGATCGGACGCTGCCTGCACAGCTTTTTCATCAAGTCTCGCGTCAGCGGCGTCTTGTAATTTTTCAAGGCTTCCAGGGTGAAGCTGTGCGAGCAGGCCAGCAGCAACGGCAAGGCCCTCCTCTCGTCGAAGGCTCTGGACACTTTCTCGTAGAAGGACTGTGCTTTGGCTCTGTCAAAGCGCAATGTTTTCGCCAGCTTGAACATGACAGCGCGAAACGTCCTGGCCGACGCGCGAGTCAGTATGTGTGGGATGTAAAAGTCAGGCTCCGTCAGGTAATAGTCCGCCTTGAAAAACCAGTCGGCGCTCAGAGCCAATTTGACGATGCATTTGGCCGGCCAGAGCAGACCCTCGATTATCAGCTCGTCTATCCGTAGTTGCTTGCCGATGCGCACGCGTAATCGAGCTCTCGACAGCTCGGTCGATAGGTGATAGGCTTGACGGTTATTCAGATTCATGCGAATTAAATTCTGCGGGCGTTCAGAATCGACGCTTATAATCGACTCGTAGGGCGCGAATCTTTTGTAAAATTTGCCTTTCTCTTTCGGGTACCAGCCCTGGAGAGATTGGATCCAATGGAGCTCGTTTTGGGGTTCACGTTGCTGGTATTTTTTCCAATGAATTTTACCGTCCGAATGGGCGTTTAACTGTGACATAAAAAAGGAATAGATTTGCTTACGTTACTTGACTGCAAGATAGTTTGCTCGAACGATACGCATGGTCGAGCCTAAATTATCTCTTACCATTAAAAATAACTCCCATTCTGATACGTGATTTAGGCCTGCTGCCTCCGAATACCTTCTTATTTCATTCAAATTATGCTCCATTTTGTAATCGCGCCTTTTTTTTAAGCTTAGGGTCACTTGATAAACTAATTCTTGGCAAATTCCAACGTCCGACTGAGGATAGCTCAAGCTATACTGAGTTCAGGCCAGTTTTGAATTACCAAAACGTGTATACAATATTCAATCGAGGTAAACATTGGGGTTTGTTTATGTTTTTGAAACTATAATTTAATATCGCGCGATCTTATTTTCGATCCTATATTATATAAATTAATCGAAATCATAAATTTGAAAGTATATTTCATATTCAAGAGCTGGTGCCAAAGATTACAGTTTTTTAATTCTAATCAGTTAAAAAACTATTTTCATTTTTTTTGTAGCTCGGAATGAGTACCTTTGTTAATCGTCAGAAGCAGAAACTCTTGAGCTATGAACTCCGGGTCAGCTGGTCAAACTACAGTTGATCCTTACTCGCATTGTAGACCTTAGTGGATTACTTCCATACATCATTGTTTCACTAAAAGTTTTGACAAAATACCTGCTAATTCCACGGCTACTGCGGACGATAAGCTAGCTTAAGTGCACGTGAATTATTTCGAATGAATCATTGTCAACTTATTCTTCTATGCCGTTGTTTTGTGTTAAGCTTTATTTATAAATAGATTTTTTAACAGGGAATGAGTTTTTTTAATTTTATTTTAACGAAACATTTTTTAACGCTTCACCGACCCATGAAAATCATTTCAAGGCTGCTTGCTTGCCATTCACATCAGGCTTGCTGGATTGTTAATTTTTAATCGACTTCAAATTAACCACCGGCAGGTGAAAATAGGATAATATTTTCCCTCTTACATAAGTAATAAAGCAGAAAATCTCTATCCAGCGTGAATATTTATGAGTGAAAATTAGATATTCCGTACAATATATATTCAGGCAATCGTACATAGGCATGCTTGCGGGCTGGTATGCTAACAAGCTCCATTCAATGCCGCGGTGAATTATAACGATGCTCATGACTATATTGGTAAATTAGATGTTTTTGCCCATCGCGATTGAAGTGCTCATTATATGAAACATGCTTGAATTCAATGGCGAGCTCAGTGATCAGCAACGATAAAAAGGAACATTGCATTTATTACGCTCACTTCGGGCTGCTTTCATGAAAATCGCATTTTGAAAATGTATAATTTTATTCGTCAACGTACAAACGTACACTGAATCATTTTTTGAGCACGAATAAGTTAACTCGTTCAAAAATAAGATAGAGTGTTTTTATTTATTTTCTTCAACTGGAGGAAATTCAGTCTAGTTTACGGAAACACTAATGAGAGGTCTTAGAAAAAAACTCATTGTGAAAGTCGATTTACCATAATATAGCTTGCTCCCGGAGGCGGCAAAAATTAACGTTAAAAATAATATTTACGTTTCACCACACCTTATGCTTTCAAGTTCACTCAAAAAGGTCGTAAATGAAGCAGGAGCTTTCAGCTGATCGATCGAGCTTTAGCAAGAGCTCGAACTTGACAGACGTGCATCGACCGTCAAAGCGGCACCTCGCGATGACGACCGAATCTAAAAGTTATATCATTTCAGTCATGATATTTGCTGATAAATTTTTTTTCGAGATAATGATTTTGTCACTGATACGTTTAGGAACTTGAATGTGAACCGTAGCAAGTGCCACCTTGAGTCAGTTACTGTCGAGCTCACGTTAGCGTCGCATCGTTTAGTACTTCGTTTTATATATAGCAGCCACGTGCGGGACAGTTGAAAGAAAGAACAAAAACAAAATAACATCACGATGGAAAGTGCGATCAGAATCGGCTCAGATGACTATCTGCCGTCTTACAACGAAGCCACTGGAAGGGCAGACCCTCTCGACAAACCTGCATTTGCGTCAGAAAAATCTAGGGTAAATTGTGCATTCTACAATTTGTGCATACGTAAACAGTGTTTCAAAAAAAAAAAAGAAAAAAAATCAATAATCCTCGACTATACGTGTAAATTTTTTTTTGCGCTCAGGTGTGCCTCGTCATATTACTCACAGTGATCGTAATTCTAGTCTTGCCTACGGCCTGCATCGCTCTCGCTTACAGCTTTCAATACTGCAGGCCCTGTGAAACCGAATTCAGTCACACACGGAAAATGGACATACTACGAAATCGTAAGTTTTACACTTTGAGCGTTTTCCCACCTATATACATAAGGTCATTAGTCTATATCGTGCGAAGATATCGGGGAAAAAAATTTTTAACTTGCGCGTCACGTAGTAAGCATACATCGATACATATCTTCTTATCTATGTACATCGCTTAAACTATACTTCCAGCGGGTTTGTATGTATACATAAAGTGTGTCACTAAAATTTTTATAATCCAATGCAACGAATGTTCGATAAAGCGAATTAAATTGTAGTTTTGACACTTCATTGCTTATTCATAATTTTAATAATTGGCTTAAAAGTGAAAGGTAAAAAAATTATAATTCATGTTTTACAGAAATACTGGGGCTCAAAGAAGACCTTGAAAAATTGCAGATAATAAATAAACACCTTCATTCGCTGATAAAATTAACGGTGACTCCAGTTCCTAATATCGATCTCCAGGTGAAGTCATTAAATTGAAAAAAAGTACACATTTTTGACTGAGAATTTAATCTAAATTATTGACCCACATAATGTACCAAATGCTATTTTCAGGAAGATTAAAACGGAATAGTTTTCAAAAAAGCACTGGTTAATTAAAGCATCTTATAACATTTAAGATAATTATTCAAATAAAAGCTAACGACACGTTCATCAAGAGAGAGAGAGAGAGAGAGAGAGCGGCTGGCGGTAATGGCCTTTAATGAGCAGCAGCATCAAAGTATTAATCAAACGACGTTCAAACGTAGGCGCTAATATATCCTGGCGTATATAATCGGGATGACTAATAAAGCGTGCGGTTAGCCGAGATAAGAGTGTTGGAGGCACAATACGTTATTGGGTACATTATCTCATCTCCTCGCCAAGCTTTGCGAATAATCTCCTCTAAGACAATCTAGAACTAAGACACGAGTGATTATTTCATGACTTTTATAATCTTGAAAATTCAAGTTTATTAGCGTATAAGTTTCTAAAAATATATTTTCGCAATATTTGGTATAAAATAAACTTTTTTCTTGGTATTTTAAAGCACACCGTTTTGTACGTTTCTGCTTTATGTTATTTGTAAGTAAATGGCAGGTTCCTTCACTGCTTTTTACGGCTGCTGGAATCAAACCTGTGGGACCAATTCGATACAGGAAAACATTCGACCTCTCGAGACGATCGAGGAGCTATCCTATACAGTTCCGGACATTTACGTGCACATACGCATAGGTGAGATGTATTTTCGTTTTATTTTCGGCGAATCTCAAGTTGATCGCTGCACATGCATTGCAAACTATAAACTTCAGATTGCTTTTGTCCATAAGTTCACACGTGAGCTGTGTTTAAGACAAAAATATGAACGCTCGTAATTTAAAACACAGCTTAATACCGCGATTAAAGCCGGTAAATGCTTTTTATAGATGAGAAAGAAGCTCAACACTTATGCCGCGAAGGTTAAGTTTATTTTAGAACTAATGCGCGTTTTTTTGCCAGAAAAATAATGTTCAACTAAGAAGGCGATATTGCAGGGAAACTTTCTTTGAGGAAACTGATTGCAAACTTTTCTTATATGTCGAAATCATAAAAACTACCTTTCGAAGCTGTTGCACTATTTCAAGTAATCCAAAAAGCTTACAAAGTACCTCCGGCCAACAAAAAAAATTAAAAAGCAGATTTGATGGTATAACAGAAAAGACATAAAAAACGAGTGTATCCCCTTACATTGAACAAAATAGTTTTTCCAGATTATACGCTGAAAATAATCCGTAAAAACAAAGTGGAACAAAAGGAGGATGCTATTTGAGAAAATGGTAATTGTAGGGATTCGTGCACAGTTTACCTCAGGAAAGTGCGTATTATTGCCGAGGCATATGAATGAAATCTCAGAAGAAAATCTTCGCTTTCTTACAATAAGCTGCTGCTGCAGCATCCGAGGCTGCAGAAAATTCATTTGTTTCAGACGAATACACTTGAAAATTCTTTATCTGCCTTCAACATCCCTCAATGGCTCTTTGCATTAGTTAAGCGCGTGCGGAGAGCAGCAGCGACGCTACGCAATACTTCGGAGAATGAGATTTTGTTGTTTTTGCCCTGTCCAGGATATAGCCTAGGATTTATATAATCACCCTGCGAGTAACAAGAATAAACTTTTCGAAAAAGTTTTTTTTTAATACGTTTTCCGGAATTATATAAAACTAGATCCATGCGTTATAATAACTTTAATTTAATATGACCCAGTTGCCACATCAAAATCTTAACAGTTTCGAAAGTTTTTTTTTCCTCGCGTGAAATGCATGCCGTATGCACAAATTAACTTCGGCAACAACAGCAGTAGCCGCATGAGCAGCAACAGCAGAAAAAGAGAGAATATCGCTCGAGCGAATCGCCGAACGATTTCAATTAATAATCACTCGGTAATTAAAAATTTTATAAAATCCTCGATTGAAATAATACCGAATTCAAATCCAATTCACTGACTTTCAAAGCAAAACACATCCTTTAGCGCCAACCAATATTTATATATTTTGTTCAAACCAGTTGAAATAATAATCGCATTCATAAATAATGACAGCGAGTTTTAGCTAGGTAAAAAGTCGATTTCGTATAGGATGAAATGTTCGACAGGAGCTTTTAAATCCGGACGATTCAATGAATAATATTTTTACTCTTGGCGTTATTTTTTTAAAAACAAATTTCAGTCAATTGAAATTAATCTGACTCGAAAACTTGGCGCGGGTAAAGTTTACCATTTTTAGGCGACTGTTAATCGGCTTATTCCGTTTATCTTATCATCTAAAATCTTCCATTGCGAATAAAAAGGTAATATTCGAGTTTGTATTTTTAAACATTGAGTAAATTAAGTGAATTGACGCAATCGAGTTTAACAATTTTTTTCTGCAGTACCAAGCATACAGACCATTTCTTTGGGTGGCTATATAAATCATTATACCGATACACCTAAGCACGACTGCAAAAATCGAGCGTGCATTATAAATTGCAGAAAACTTTTATCTACGATTCGCAACAATCCTGCGGCGCTGTATTATATACACATGAGCTTTTATATGAGAAAAATTGCCGGTAAAAATTTATCGGTTTAATAATAATTCTTACGTTTCTCGCGAGTGCGCTTAACACGCATACGCAGATGATACGAACTAAAGCAGGCAAGCTGACTAATAATTCATCTAAGCTACCAGTAGTTTTTTCCTTTATATTTTCTTTTTTACTTCGTATTTACGCCCAACAAACAACCGAAATATTGATCACGCCCGCCCGCATACTTGGTCGCAACGGCAGCGGCGGGGACGCGCACATTAAAGCTCAAAATCGCAGCCGTATTGTTGAGGACCAACAAAGCTCCGGTGCCAAGCTCGTATTTAATTTCACGTATATTATACAGTATATATACGTTAGGTTAAGTAATAAGTACTTTAGGTCTTAAAATGAAAACTTTCGGTTTATAAATTCTTTTTTACTCCACTTGTACGCGGTTTTTCACATTTTCATTATAACTGGAATAATGTATAATAAAAAAATGAAAATAGATGTTATTATCTGCTGTATGATGACGGAAATGGTATTAAATTAAGTTGAAATATAATATGACGACTTTGTTCTTTATGCCGAATCGACGTCTCGTAATATTCGTCTGGAAACTGAGTTACTCGCACGTATCGTTGGAAAAAAGGCATTTGATTTCAAGTGTTTATGTGCGGCTCATTTCTGGGAACGCATGGGCAATAAAAATTAGACTCTGCCTGACAAAGTGACACAGTGAGATGCTGACACAGGGTCTGGTGATCTGTGAACAGAAAAAGGACCCAGATGAATCAAAGTGAGGCAATTTTCGATAACGACTTTACGAGCCTTGCAGAACAACGACGATCGGGCAGTTCTCGTGAGTCCCTCGACAGCTAAGCATCGAAGCTCAAAGCATCTCTGCTAGTACCTTTGCATTTCAACTTGGTTTAGTTTGAATAACGCTACCGTTGCAGCTCAATATTTTAAAAATAAACTTCATAGTCCATTCATATCATAGTGCTTGTTGCAAGAATAGTGAATTAGTTCCGTACCTGTCATTCGTGCATAATTCGATATCGTTCATCACTCCCTTGCCATAATCGAACGTTCATCTGTTGTAACCCAAGAGAGCTGCAGTGAGGGCCTACCAACTCAATAAGTACCGCATAATACCAATAAAGAACTGATAATTTACCACAACCGATTCAAAGAAACTCAACGACATGGACGAACGTGGAGAGAAAACATTAATTTCAACCGTTAACGAAGAGGTACCAGTTATGACCCTCCTGCAAGTCGCCGCGAAACTAGGAGAAATAACAGACGTACGAACGACGTACCGCCGAGAGCGCCGTTGTAAAACCATAAACATCCGATATCTCCCATACGCCTATCCGACAAGAGCGACGATTCAGGTCCCCGTTGCACCAGCAGAAACCCCAGCACCGGCTCGGCCAGCCACCCAGAACATTCGCCAAATAGAAAAAAGACCAAATCATACCGACGCAACCGATCGAATATTCTGTACTATACCACCAAATTTATCCACCGAAAACATAATTACACAAATCCTTTTAGAACACTTCATGCCTTTCGGACCGATTGAATATTATCACCTTATCAAATTATCACCATACGCAAGAGCTGCTTACGTAAAATACTTCGATCCAATGCACGCCAAGCGTGCATATGAGAACGTTCATAAAATGTGGAAAGCCGTATTCGCAAAAGACAGGAACATAAGAACCAAATACCAGGGTCAGATCGCGATGACGTATCACAAGGAATGCGAGTCCTTAGTCGAATGGGACACATACGACCTACATGTATCGTCGTGTGAAATACTACGCAAATTTACAATTAAAAAAGAACCTGTTTCATATACAGCACAAACAACACCCTCATCAAATTACCGCTAATACTAATAAAGAGTTTATATTTTGCAAGCAATTCAAAGTGAGTTCTCAAATTTCATTTTCTATCCCTCACCACCTATCACCTTATTTCCTTATCTACTATATAATATAAAAAGCTGAGTATTGATTATAAAGTCTGCATCTATCTTTCGTTTAGTGAAAATAAACGACGAGTCCATCTCTTTGCCGCAAGGGGGGTACGATCGATTCAAAATCACGCGTGTGCTTCAGACCCACACGAAACTTAGAGCCGACGTAAAGACTGGTTCACTGGTTAACTCTAGGCTGGCTCAACGTATTAAATGTCTTATAAGAAAAGAAGAAACGAGGTCTCCTAGGATCAACTTATACTCTAAAACATCTTTGACGAATTATGTAATATACTCACCAGCGAGTTTATTAATGATTGGTTATATTCGATACGAAGATGAAAAAAAAACAAATTCGTTATTAATTCAAGCCCGGGCCAGTAGCCGCGCACTCACGAACACTTGGCATTGATTAAATATTAAATCGTTTAGAAAATTTAATTTGCTCGATATCGCCGAAACGTTACACATACGCGAGCGAGCGCAACGCCTTTAGGAAGGAGCTGTTCGTTTTTTAATTTTGTCATTCAATAACTCCGTGGCACCGGTATTTAATGGAATTTATATTCGCGCTGATCCAGACTTCGATATGCAATATGTCTATATCTATGGCAATCAATTTAAGTCCATTTACTACTCTTCACGCTCTGTACTGCAGCTGATGAATTCCATTCCGTGTGCACAGTCCTCGGCTCTCTCTTTCTCTCTCTCTCTCTCTCGATTGCGTCTGCATGCAACCCTATCTCCATCACTTTTCCAAGCGATAATTTCAAGAGTCTTCGTTTCGATCTATATACCTATAAGAGTAGGTACTTTGATACTCTCTCGGAGGCTATATATACAGTACACACAGCGAGTGGAAGCAATGGCAGTATACACTATATAGGATGAAAGAAAGCTCCTGCGCCGCTGCAGCGACTGATGGACC